GCTGCACTGTCAGATATGCCACCGTCGAGAAATACCGGCAAACACGCTACGTCGGCCAGCTTTGCGCTCGAATCAGACACCCAGTCACCCGCCCTTCACTGACCTCAGTGCTGACTGACAACACCATTAGGGGGGACCACCCTAAGAAACAAGCTTTCATCATTGCCCATCCCACGCCCGCGCGCCCCGGCACCTCCAGTACAGCAAACCCATGTCTCTGCCTGGCGCCTCTCCATCCCATCTCCCGCCTTGAGCAAACCCCCCTACCGCCTTGAGCACCACCCGGCCAATACACGGCGTCGACTCCGGCACGGGGCCCCTTCATCTCGAAGAAGCCCTGCCCACAGCTTCACCGCAATCCCCCTTGGAAATGGAGATTTCATGCCGCACAGTTGCCAGATATCGGATATCGTGGCACCCCAGGTCACCAACAACCCGTCCCACGTTTTGATCCACAGGTCCATCGCCTTCCCAATCCTTCACCGACGGCCAGCTACATGACACACCTCGTCCTCATCGCTCATCAACGCACTCACCTTACATCAAACACGCCCAGAAGAGATCGGTCTCAACAACCCAGCTCACCTCCTGGACTCTGACGAAACCGGTGACCCGGATGGCGTGCCTCCCAACGAGTCGCCGCCTCTTTCTCACTGCGGTACAAGAACGGTAGGTCTCCTCCAAGTCACCACGCCGCAGTCACAATCGCAGGTCATGACCAGAATAAGAATCCAGCGAAGCACCGCGGGCATATCGTTCCCTTCCCCGTCCACCCCGCATCGCTCTGATTTGCTCCCGCTCTTCAGCACCCGCAGAACCGAGCCGCGCTAAAAAGGCGTCCCTTCACCGCCTCCAAGTCTATCTATCGGCTTGTCAGACGGGAACATCGATTTGGACTTTTTGCTCACCCTGCATCGTGCATACAGGCGCCGGGAGCGCATCGCGTGCCGTGGCTTGCAAGCCCCAGATTGCGTACCGTAACATTGGCTCTCACGCGACCTCGAGACCTTATCAGCTGTTTCACGGCGAGCCTTATCGGGGACGAGTTGATAATGTTTGATCATCCGTGACATTTCCCATGCAGTCCTCTTTTTTTGGTTGAAGAATCTCGTCTTGCGGGTAATCTATTTATTGTACATTCAAAGCTCGTCGCCAAGTCTCGAGTCGCCTCGGCATCTGCTCGCAGGCTCGTTCATAACTCATGGCTGGCCAGCATGCAAAACGTCTCTCTCGCCCGTCTCCTGACGGAGTTTGTCGGCCATCAGCGTCTGCCGACATGCTGCTCTTCGGTTCCTCCAACTTTCCGTCATCACGCTCAGTGCTTCACCTTGTAGTCCTCGTCAGGCAGGTACAGATGTCTCTGCGCACCCTTGGCCGTAAGGACGACCATGCGAATGACACCGCCGGAGCTGCCGTCCCACTTGATAGCCTCCTGTAGCGCGCCCTTGACGAAGTCGACGGCGTCCTTCTCCTCCATGCCTTCCCTCCAGTTGGCGTCGCAGTATCCGTAGATGTACGTCGAACCGGAACCGCCGATGGCGTACGATTGCTTGTGTAGGGAGCCTCCGAGGGGAATGGAGTAGACCTGTCCGCCGTGACGCTCGTCCCAGCCAGCGATGATGAGACCGGCACTGTTCGAGTGAAACGTTAGCACTTCACCACCTCATCCATTGGACATTTTCAGGCTGCGGGAACATACGTCAGACGGTCCTTGTTGGCGTAGCAGATCTCCTGGAAGATGGCGCCGGCCGTTTGCGTCATGGGGGGCTTGCCGTTGCGCATGGCATAGAGACCAAGCTGGTACTGGACAATGTCGGCGACGGCCTGGGTGTCGGCGGCGGAGCCTGATCTGCAGCACCAGATGGTGTCGTGGACTTGTGTGAGCTTGTCGGTGACTCGGTTGGCGATGTACGCGCCCGTCGTTGTTCGGGAATCAGCGCCTGGGAGTTGGGCATGTCAGTCTTGTCGTCTCGGTGTGTCGCTGGCGAGGATGGCAACAATGCTACTGCTAGTGGTGACATACCGAGAATGACACCGTCCTTGAAGGTGACTGCCATACTGCAGGATCATTAGGTCGAGGTAGTCGTGATACGGGATCGAGGGGTAGCTTACATTGAGGTTCCGAGGCTGGAATACGTCAGCGGGGTTGCATAGCTAAACATCGGTCCATTGCCATCACTTACTTGACCTCTCCCTTCTTTAGTCTCTCCATGTCGACGTGGATGCCATCTGTGCCAGGTCAGCTCCATTGCCCTCCTTCCATGCCTTCGCAACACCCCACGTTCCCAGGACGCAGGTCCCGCAGCTGGTTGCATCATCCGGGGTGAAGGAGGGAGCTTGCCGTACCTTCGTTGAGCATGCCGGTGGTGGTGAAATCCATCGTGAGTTACGCTGCGTCGGTCGTTCGTATGAATGTGTCGGTGGAGTGGCGGTTTTCGGTTGGGGGGAGAGGATTTGTTTGATGTGGTCGTCGGTGGGAAGGGCGGCGGTCGTTGCTGAGGGAAGGCTGGCTGGAGCTCAATCGAAGCTCAGGCAGCTCCAGACACGCGTTGGCCTTGCCCGCCTGCGGCTTGACTGCGCATCACGTGACTGTGATGACATAAGACAAAGGCAAGAGCTCTGGACCATGAGCATGGCGGTTGCCAGATGCAAGTTGGAAAATTATTTGGATCATTGTATTAGTTTCAGTAGCCATTTGTTGCATTACAATTTACTGCATCTCTAATCTTTTGTGAGCTCGCAGCAATCGACCGAGGCGTCCAGAGAAGGGGCTGTTATCATCGCATCATCTCATGGGTGGGCTGCAAGGATCGCGAGCTATTTGGTACCTTCAACACTGGCATCTCCAAATGGGTATATAATTCGAGTAAACTGATGCTGCTCTGATGTTCTCGCGACGCCTCATGCCGGAATCAGCCACGACCAATGCGCCCCAGGTATCAAGGTCGCTTATCAGCCGAATGCCATGTACAAAACTGGCCCAGCAGACGTCCTCTTTTTACACAAGATTCTAATATGTATCAACCTGTTTCCAAACGCCTTTTCCATCTGCTCGCTCGCAGTCAACGCGCTTAACCGCCCTTGGTCAACCTGCACAGCCAGTCAGCATGATTCCATGACACGAAGCACCCTACAGCCAGCCGCACTTACCCATCCTTCTGCAGCTCGATGCTCGCCTTCTCCCCACTCTCGGCCTTCTTCTTGTCCTCGTCGCCGCACCCGCAGTCGTAAAAGTCGCCAATTTTGTTGCAGTCAAAAATCTCCTTCTTCAACCTCGTGTTGACCTCGTTATGTACGAAGCAAGCCCAGCCGGCCGCGGCGTTGCGGCTGCTAGTCTGCGGTGGATACTTGGCCAGCAGCTTGCGGAAGTGGGAGGCGCAGTCGCCGCAGGGGTATAGCCTCGCAAAGAGCTGGATGTACGTCTTGAGCGCGAGGGAGTCGTCGGCGGTGGGCTTTTCGGGGAAGCGGGCCATCATCGTGTGGAAGAGCTTCCACGAGGCGCGACCGAGCTCGGCTCTGTTGGAGGTTACATTATTAGCGGTTGCTTGTTTCCATGGACGCCGGACGAACCGGCCGGGTGCTTGCAGATCATCGATCTCCGGGGTTCGGCAGGCCATGAGGGAGGGGGAGGGGGAGGGAAGCTTACTTGGCCGTCGCGTTCTCCAGCTTGGGCGCGATGGACTCGCCGGAGAGGATGCTGTTGGAGATGTGGCCCAGGTCGGGCATGTCGCCGCTCGAGGAGACGGTGTCGCCCTTCAGGTGTGCGGCGGCGGGGGACGGGGCATCGGGGCTGCTGCCGGAGAAGAGGTACGAGATGCTGAAGAAGGCCACGACGGCCAAGATGACCATCAGGGAGAGGTGCTGCCGCCTCGCCATCTTGAAATGTGTCGAAATGCGTATGTACTCAAAGACACGCGCGAAAAGAACGGGAGAAGGTCAAAATGTGGTCGTGTGGAAGAAGAAAGGAGGGACACACGACCCTCCTTTGCTGGAGTATTCCGGACGGATCGCCTTTTGGGAGTAGCTTTTCGCCTGGCTGCGCAGAGTGCACCTGGATAAGGTGCTTGCCTGGGGTTGAGTGCTCCAACTGGCCGGATGGCACGTCCACTGATGATTGCCCCCAAACTCTCTGGAGGGACCGACCTGGACCGGACTGGACCGACGGCACGGAGGGTGGGATATTTGGTCGGCCCACGGCGCAGGGGTTCATCGGACGAGGCTATTTCCCTGCGCCAATCCCATCGCTGTGGTTTCTGCGTTGCGCCATCAGTCGCATGGCCAAAAGTCCCCCACTGCAGGTGGCTCGATGCATCAGCAGGATTTCTTTGTTCGCGTGGCCGCGCCGGCGTCCGAGTCTGAGGTGGCTCTACCTTGAGGTACCTTACCTACCTCATTCTTCGGTTCCCCCTCCAGCGATGCACTTCCCCATCTTCACAGGAGGGACAACCACTGAATCGCTGTAAAATCAAGGGACCGCCAGCCCTGTGGAATCCATGGCACGTGCGCAGGTGTAACCCCTTAACTTTGATTCAGGTTCACTCCACTTCGGCCCCTGACAGCCGCCTTAATTGCCTCTAACCTTCTCCAGCACTGCAGGAAAAATCCACCAAATAAATCGCCTGCCGTTTCTACCAGGGTGAGGCCATTCCGAGATCCGAAATGGAGGAGACAACGACCCGTCGGCGTGTCGTGGTCTCATGGGTTTCCAACATCAACGTCCATCGTGGTCTACTATCATCAGGATGCTTTCACCCTTACCAATGCTGGGGATATGGAGAGCCCAAAAGTGAAATGTGGTCTTGAAGACCTCATGCGGTACCAGCTTGAGATCGACTTATTCCTCGGAGGAGCACTTTAGAAGCATGAGAAAACTATCTTAACGCGTTATGGGGAGAACGAAGACAATACAGTCACAGTACCGTTTAATTCGAGTTGGTGTTCCAAACCGCCTTTCTACACTTTGTCCCAAAGTTTATCTGACTACGCCTTCGTGTCCTGCTTCAAATTGCGAATCGGAACCTCGGGCTCTTCTCTCCCATGGCCTCAATCTCATCCTCCGTCTTGCCGTCCATCAGGTAGTCCATCCTACCCTCATCTCTTAACTTGTTCTGTCTCCGGAAGTGCACATTCAGCAGCACGTTGAGAGCGAACGAGACCGCCAGCATACCCATACTCGCCGCGTAACCGGGCACAAAACTGCTTCCCGCGAACAAGAAAGGCGACGCAACCCCAGAGGAGTTACCAATGGTGAGATGCATCCCTGTTGAGAACGCCCGCTTGCCGTAGCGAGGGTTGTTAGTCGGGACCCAGGCAAACGAGATGCCCGCCCCGGCGAAGATGCCGATACTGACGAAGAAAGTGCCGGCATACGACACGGCGTTGCCCTTCTCGGCAATGAGCATGCCGTAGCCCACTATCGAAGAGACGATGGCGCCCATGATAAAGTAGCCGCGGCGCTGCGTGAGGTCACTCACCCGGGCGCATGCGACATAGACGATGGCCCCGACGGCATAGACAGGGACAGTCATGGCCTGGACCTCCGTCGCGTTCCAGCTGCCGAGCCCGTGGATGATTGTGGGGAGGAACACGACGAAGGAGTAGAGCATAGTCAGCAGCGGAAACAGTGCGAAGCAGTACGCCCAGGTCGTCCAGTCCCTGATGCCGTCCTTGACGTCCTCCCACTCCATCTCGCGCAGGTTCCGCGCCCTGCCGATCTGCTGCTCGTGGATGCGGACGAGGTTGCGCTTGTCCTCGTCCGAGAGGAACTTTGCCGTCTCGGGGCTGTTTGGCAGCACGAACGGGATGACGCAGCCGGTGACGATGGTGGGCAGCCCGTTGATGAGGATGATCCATCTCCAGGCGCGCCAGCCGGCGTGGCCGTCCATGAAGCTGATGCCGTATGCGACCAAGCCCCCGGCCACGCCAGAGGCAGCTGCGGTTCCGTAGAAGTAGGCGATCCGGAGGGCGAGGCTTCGCCGGCTGTAGAACATGGACAGATAAAGGACCACTCCTGGGAAGAATCCTGCCTCGAACAGGCCCAAGAGGCTTTGCTGGTGTAAGCAAGGTCATTTGAGTAAGGCCGAGGTATGTACATACAGGCGACACACCACAAGAGCAGCGAAGTTGTTTACAAAGGCGCTGAAAGTGGCGACGAAGCCCCAGCAGATAGTCAGCCCTGCAAGGTATCGGGCAGGTTGAAGGCGTTTGATGACCATGTTAGACGGAGCTTCAAATAGCTGAAATCCCACGATCATTAGCTAACCTGAACGTCTCAGTACAGCCCAGGGGTCAACTCACGCAGTAGGTGATGAACAGAACTGAGACTGCTAGTTGGAACTGCCCAGATCCCAGGTTCAAGTCATCTTCCAAGCCGAATAATCGGGCATTTCCAATGTTGACTGCGCAAGAGGTTCAGCAATGGAACCCGACTTTGAAGAGTGAAAATCCTCACCTCGATCCATCATGTTCATCAGGTATACCCACATGACCATTGGGACAATACGGTAGTCTAGCTTGCGTAATACCGCGCGCTCAGTCGCCTTGTCGACGATTTCGGTGTCTGGTCCTGGTGCTTGTTCGATGGTCTCGACTTGACCAGATGAGGCGTCAGAGTTCTGAGGCCATGCAGCCTTCTCGCCCGGCAAGTCAACATTGTTGCTTAAGTCAGCCATGGTTCAATAGCCAGGCAAGACGTGACTGTCCTGCTATGACCGATTTAGAGATACAGGAGTCCGAAGGTCAAGAAGAAACCCGATTTTCCAAACCAGTAAGAATGAGTAGATGGCAAGAAAAGAAGCAAAGAGTCAACGATGTGCGACAGACGGTGAAGATGCTGAGTATTTAAGAGCAAGGAAGGCTACCATGGGGAAAGGTAGACGGGCATATGTGCAACGCTGCTCCAATGACAGGCTGAGAGCCAAGCAACAGACCTGTTGTTCGCCTGCAATATAGTTCAGGGAGTTGAATCCGTTGGCTATCTCTGCCAATGCTCGTTCTTGGAAAGCAGGCATCCGGTTCCCCATGCGGCATGGCTTCGGTTGGCATTGTGAGAAGAAAAGCATTGTTGGGGCACGCGTGGCAGAAACCAAGAATATTGGCATGCGGGGGGAGGTCTTGGGCCACAGACATCTCCGGGCTTACATGGTATAATTCGCGGGGATGGTTTCTGGGCGATTTTGCACGCGTCTGGGACCGTCAGCTTTGTACGCTTGCCAATCTACCAGCATGACGGCGTGGCGGCGCTGCCGCGCTGCTTGGCTTCCGCAACAAGCCACGGTAGTCGAAACACGCAAATGATGAACCAAGATATTGAACGGCCCAGCGGAAGTTGTGACCCTTGTTCTCTCGAAATTCGCTGTGTGATGGTCGGTCCGGTGTTGATTAGCAATTTGCTTATGTTGAAGCACAGCCTGGTTTTGTACTACGTCTCGCGTTAGCTCGATAGGATGACTTCCTTAAGACCGAGAATCACTAACGACTAGGTGCTTATAGACTAGATGAGATTATTCGTACGCCGTGTTTACCTGCTGGCGAGCGAGTTGCGAGGCGAGCGGCGGTCGCTTGTAGACTTCTAGACACCGCATGCCACGAGAGGTGACAGCTGAGATGGCACCAAGTACTGACATTCTCTGTGCAGATATTTTACAGCTATCGATTACGGTTACACTGCGTTTGATATCAGGCCGGATGGCCTCTTTCAAAATCGAAACGAGATGAAGTAGTAGTGGACGTGAAAGCCCATAGACAGCGTGCTTTCAAGGTCCCACACCAGATCCTACAAGACTTCGAGATGAAAATGCGTGAAGAGCATGGCGGTCATGATGCGAAAGCCCAAGATAATTTTAACAAGATACGGCAGAAGTATCAGACTCAAACGTGTGGTGAAGACATCTCCGAGACAGACCCAGCACGTCGCAGCGACAGCTGCAACTCAAAGATCGAAATTTCTTCTCAAAACAAGAAACTCGACGACGATGAACGCAACATAACCAAGCAACATCAAGCCACCGATGAGACGATCAAATCGACCACCCGTCCACACGGTTATGGTAAATACCGCCGTCGTCACCCAAAGTACCACCAACTCGACGATGTCCACCCCGCCAGCAGCGCCCAGCTCCCCGCGAGAACCAACCATGACAATGCCGAGGCACAGTGTGAGCAGAAAGATGTTGCTCCCGACGGTGTTGGCGACGAGAATACCGCCATGGCCACGGTTGCCGCTGATCACAGCCACGAATTTCTCAGGCAAGGTAGTTCCGATGGCGAGCACGACGATGCCGAAGAGAACCTCGGAAGCGCCAAGGGCGTCTGAGATATTTGTTGCAGCGTGGGATAGGACGTATCCCGACAGACATATTGTGAGGAACCCTAAGAAAAGGTACCCGATGTGATACCAAAGACTACGCCTCCGGCGTGCAAAGTTCTCGGAGGGACGCAGGAGCGGTTGCTGTTCACCGTTAGACCTCCGGCGGCTGCTAGTCGGAGGGGCCTCAGCGTCGCGCTCATCATCGCTGGAGCTTTCGCTGTCGCTGTCGGAGCCTTCGGGGGCAGTGAGTGATCCGCGACTGATGGCCCATCCCACAGAGATGATGTAGATGGCGAAGGCGACGATGAGAATGATACCTGTGACCTTCCACAGTTCTTCGCGAGGAAAGAAAGTTATAGGAGCAATGACTGTTGTCACGCCCAGAAGCAGCAGCGAGTAGATACGCGCGCTGCGATCGAACTGCATGTGCTCGCCATTCTTACGAAAGAGTAGACCCAAAGAGAAGGCCCCAAGGATATTGGAAATCGCGGAGCCAACAATGTTGCCCAATGCCAGAGGAGCCCGGCCCTGAGCCAAGGCGCTGACAACCACAGCGAGCTGCGACAACGTCAGTCGTGATGTAACAACACCGGGCAGAAATACCGCCCATCGCCGGGCGGGAATACGGGAAAAGTGGGCGTATCTTACCTCCTCCCATTCGGCTCCGGCGGTCAGGAGCGCGATTAGCGTGTCCGGGATGCCGGTACGTCGGGCGACAATGGCTGTGTGGTCGACGAACTTGTCGGCGCCTGATTCGAGGAGGAAGAGGGTGCCGACGAAGACGGCCGCATTGTAGGCGACCACGTTGCCGTCGATCATCTTAAACTAAGTGAAGTGGTACTTATTGAGTATTAGGCTGGTTTCTTCACCAAATGTGACAGCTGCAATGTGATTCCACCACGAATCTGCCCGTTCAATGGCGACGAGGAGTTTCGCGTCTTGTCAGGTTGAGAAATGTTGATTTTCGAAATTACCTGACATGACGAGATGAGAAATTGACGACCTGTGTTTTCTTGGCATTGACTCTCCGGGGGCAAGTGGGGTCCTCGGAGCTGTTCCTCGGAGTTTACGGCGAGGTCTCCGGATCGACTCTGCCGGCGCCTGTTAAATCTAGCTGACCCTTAGCATAGACGGATTTCGAGAAGATAACCAACATGTGTTTGTCGAAAGGTCGAACAGACGTGGTGGTAATGTTATTACGCCTCAGGCAATCGATGGAATCCCGTCGCCGGGAGCATTGCCTTGTGTTGAACATTCGAAGTGCAGCAATTGACTTGATATCTTATCAGAGACTAACAAAACTCGCGCGGGCAAAATGTATCGACATCATTCGTAGCATCATTGAGGGGTTGTGTCGGGGGAAACCTTCATTCCTTCTGAGAGAGATCTAGGTTTCGCAGGGATCAGCTCCAATCGCCCTCACTACAACTGAAATGACTTCATAGGCATGAGCGCATGCGTGAGGCAAAATGATCTCCGGTTTGCCCACGAAAAGCTTGAAATGACTTCAATCCATATGCTTGAAAGTGAAGATCCATAATAATGAATGATAATGAATTCCTGCGTGTTGTTCTCGACGAGGAAAATGATTTGAGGACTCACGTGAAACATTATGGACGTGCACGATGTGCCGAGGTTCAATTCGCGGGCTGCTTGAATACCACGCCGCAACAACTTCATCTTCATCAACCATTTCCCGCGGAACCAAAATTCCGTCGATAGACATCTGCCACAATCCTAGCCAAAATGAGCGAAATTTTCAAAAAGAAAGCAGATCCCGAGTCTCTACCGCAATCTGTCGACGATCTCAAAGCACTGCCATGGTGTCGCCCCCTTCTCTCCGCCCCCGGCGTCACCACCTTCATCCCACCATCTAGAGTCCCAGAAAACACCAACCCCCACGACAGGTTCTTCGGAAAAACCATGAACAACTCAACTGGAATCCCAACATGCATCTGTTTCCACAATGAGGCTTCTGGTAATTCGGTCATCACCGAAATGTCGATTCTGTTCGCGCTCTCAAGAGGGATCGACGGATACCCACACATCGCACACGGTGGCATAGTCGCGGTGCTCATCGACGAGGTCCTAGGCATCCTCATCCAGAGGAACATGGATACCGACAGAGACAGCCCGGTATTTAGGATGAACACCGTGACTGCTTCGATGGATATCAAGTATCTGAAGCCGGTTACGACGCCAGGCGTAGTGCTTGCAGTGGGGCAGATCAAAGAAATCAAGGGCAAGAGGATCTATCTCAGAGCGGCCGTCAAAGACTCCAATGGAGTCGATCTTGCCACATGCGAGTCGCTCTGGGTTGCGATTCCGAGGCCCAAGATGTGATAGATGGACTAGATACTAGTAGGTTTCATATAGCGAGCTGTCCTAGATTCCTAGATGTTCATAAACTATTTGACACTTCATGTCAGTGAAAGGACTGACTAGTGACTTGGCAAGTGAGCTCGTAGCAAAACGTTGTTCGTATTGAAAACTCGGCAACTTCTTCGCGTTATTGCGATCAAGAAGATAGAAAGAGGGGCAATATTAGACATGATTCTTCACTTAACACATTGTGTTGTGCAAGACTTCTTCTTCCGCGGACTTCGTCACAGAGTTATTTGGGGCTTGACGCAAGGATGGACGCAAGGATGGACAGCTTTGTGTGACAGGGATCGCTTTTGTATTATCTGTCTGACATCTAGAGAATAAACAGCTGACGTATGACCGTCGAGCTAGAAAATGTTTCGAATTACTAAAATAATGTTTTTGAGCCAACGTTCTCGGCTTTAAAGAGAAGGCAGGATTCTCTTGTCGGTGAAAGCCCACAGAAGAGGGGAGTAGTCAGAGCACCAGGCATTGCCGGTGTAGTAGGTGCTTCTCTTTCCCTGCAGAGCATAGAGCTTCTTGTAGAAGCCAGCCTTGATGGCATCCGTGGAGACGTGGAGCTGCAGGTTGGAGTGCTCCTCCCATGCGCTGAACTCCGCGCCGCTGGTGGCAGTGGCACCGACAGAGGGGCCGATGCGGCTGACGGCACCAGTAACCAGGCCCTGAGCAGTGGCGGAGTCAGGCTCGCCAATGACCTTAACGGTCTGGTATCCCGGAACACCAACGGTCTCAAGGCGCCAGACGAAGGGCTTCTGGGGAAGGGCATCGGGAGCGGTGACATCGACGTTGACGTAGTTGGTCAGATCGGGGAGGCCGGTCTTGGACACAACACCAACGTAGTAGGGGACGTTCTCCCACTGGCTGAAGATGGAAGTCTCCTCCTCGTCGAGGTCGAAGGGCTTGAGGTTCTGAGTCGTGGGAGGAATAGTGACGAGAAGCTTCTTGGCCTTGATCAGCTTGCGGCCGGTGGCGGTCTTAACGACGGCCTTGACGCCGTCATCGGAACGCTGGGAAGCAACAACGGTGCTAGAGTAGAAAACATCGCCTCCAAGGAATTCTCCGGCCTTGTCGTAAACCTGTTGGTTTCCGCCGGGGGCGTAGAGGTAACCAGCAGAGAGGCCAAGAAGGTGGGGCTGGCCAAAGTTCTGAAGGACGTAGAGGGTAGGGGTCTCGAGAAGGTTTCCGACACCGTGGGCGAAGATCCAGACAACCTGGACAGACTCGGTCAGGTTGTACTTGGTGATGAACTGGCCGAAGGGCAACAGCAGGTCCTCAGGAACAGAGTCGGGGATATCGTAGGCGCCCTCGGCAAGGAAGGCGAAGTTCATGGTCGCAAACAGGTAGCTGGCAAGAGGTCCAACCAACTGGTTGGGGTCAACAGCAGTCGCATTCGGGATGGCGAAGCCAGTCTTGAAGTCGACGATCTTGCTGGGGAAGGGGGACAGTGCAGAAGCGTTCAGAGCGACACCGAAGCGCTCGAAGAACTGCAAGGTCTGGTCGTTCTGGATGTAGGCCTGAACACCATAGTCGATGGACGCGCCGGTGGCAGGGTCGTGGAAGGTGTTCACGTGTCCACCGAGCTTGTCAGCGCGCTCGACAACGGCGACGGTCTTGTTCTGGTCCCGGAGACGAACGGCGGCGTAAGTGCCGGTTGCTCCACCGCCGACGATGAGAACATCACGCTGGATGATGTCCTCGGGTGCGAAGGCGGACTCATCGTAGCACCCAAGCGCAACAGGAGTCGCGCTGATTAAGGAAGCGCTCAATGCGCAAAGAGACAAAATAGAAGAACGCATCGTGATAGTTGGAACCGAGAACGAATGACTGTGACTAAAGGAGCGACTGGTGGGTTGCTGTCCAAAAAGAACAACCCCTCCGAGCAATGGCGATTCTGAATGCTATATACATGCTGCAACGGACAACGTGGGATGCTAACCCGAGCCCGACGCTCCGGTAAGACGCCAAGTCCAGTGAAGAGAGAAGGTTTTGACTCGAATAGGCAATGAAGTCAAATTGATTAAGCGCGACTCATGGCAAACTGCCTACAGTTCGCTCGCTACCCCCCTGTCATTTGTTAGCATTCTACCAAGGTCAGGCTTGCTCTCTAGCAAAGATCCGCGGTACGCCCAAAATGCACTACGGTCAAGCCGGATGAACGCCCCCAAACCGTCGTGCCATGCATGCTACGACCTAACATGCACAGAACCCCTAAAACCACATCATGGTTACCTCGAAGCAGGCATCTCGTGAGGAAGTATTTTTCACGTGAAAGGAAGAAGCAAAAGTCGAACATAAAACGCAGTCGCCCCCGAAGCTCGGGAAACTCAAGAGACTGACGGACGCCGGTGATGCCGTCGCGGCTCACTCGGCCAAATGGTGTAAAATGGGCGACAGGGATTATGTTTGCGTGATGTTGTTAAAGTTCACTGTCTTTAATTGCCCACTTCCAGTTCATGGAGACAACGTAACGGCCAAGAAACCGAGATCTGGTTTTAGGTTAGAAGCAATAGGGGCTGAGCGAGACTTGCGCCTGGCGTCGGCCTTCAAAAGCCGGATACTTATGGGTGGCTGCGCCCGCTGCCGCCATCGTCGGCCGGTCAAGCACTCACCTCCCTCCGCCGGCGCCGTTGTCCAACATTCCGCATTAACCGCAAGGCGATTGGACTCCCACTTCCATGGCAAGGCAACGGATGCATCGATCCGCCACACTGATCGTCTACGGTTTGCTTGAAGGTTTGTCGTCGTTTTGCCAAGGGCTTTGCCCAAGGCACTCATTGAGCCCCATCTGCAGATGCAGACAGCGCGACAGCGAGTGCAATGCTCTCGCGCGAGAAGTACTTCAACATTGACATCCCATTCGCACGGCTTACGCACCCTTTTTTAACTAACTGTTGGTTGATGTTTTTTGGGTTCTGAAAACACAGATAATGGGTGGAGACAATCTGGAAATGCCTTCATTTATTTTTGTTGCTCCCGAGTCGTATGCCCTCTGAGATCACAAAAACCGGCAACAGCCTCTATTTGAAAGTGAAAGTCTGCCCGAGAACAAGTGAGCTTGCGACTGAGCGTCGGAAAAGATCTGAAACCCGCTGAAAAGCCAACTGTTCATGCCGTACGATAAGTTGCTCAGCAGTCAAACTAACATCGTTGCCTCATTTACGATACTTTCAAGAGGAAGTCTTGATTAAGTACATCTTCATTAACCTGCCTGAGTGAACTGCTACCGTCATTCGCCCATGTCCGTTAAACCACTAATTAGCGCGGAGGCGCCGTAATTTTTCCGCTCGGGTCACTGCGTTCGCCGTTGTTGTCCATCTGACGGCGAGGTGCCGACGGGTACGCACTGCAACATCGGGTTCGGGAGTTGGGGCGTGCATTGCGCGCTTTTTTTGGGCAAGAATGTGCCTTTGTAATACCCCCAAAGTCCAAGCTCATGATACAGGTAACTATGATTGCTTCATTTTTGGTTGCTGGTTATAACAGTCACTGGGGTTGAGGTCGGCATATGTGCTCTTGGATCTGATGTTCTCGCATAGGTTTGACGAAACTTGGCATACTCAAGGTGCTGTTGATCCCCAATGGCGATCTCGGTGTCCAGTGGAATGGGACGATGGTCTGGAAGCCAGCACGACAGTCCAGGCGTGCTTCATAGGGGCGTTAGACAGGGGCGGACCCAGAACACTCAGGCAAGCTGCTGTCAGTAATTTTCCGAAAGTTAGTTGAGATTGGGGTTCGTTAGCTGCCAAATCATTAGCGAGTGGACGCTTGGTGCGGCAAATCAAGGCCTGCCTCATTGCCAGACTAATTTGTCCGTCACAAGTCATGACTCGGTTAGGCTGGGCAGAACTTCGTACTGGATTCAGGGCTGATTTTAAGGCCTGTGGCCCGAGAACAAATCCTGAGGAACAGAAAACAGTCAGAGGTTCTCAACAACCAGGCAACATGTGCACGTCAAGTGCATAGCTTGAAAGTTAGTCGAATGAGAGACTGTCTGGTTTATGAGCTCGATTCGCGTTCAACCCGTCAAGCTCCGCAGGAGAAAATACAAAAAGACGACTATATGTACCTGGCTAGAAGCCTACTTTAGTCCGAAACAAAGAAAATATTGTCTTGCCAAGTGTATGAAACTGCAGAGACTTCGGATGTAAAAGGTCCAGGGAAGTCAGACCAACCTTTCTTTAGCGACAATTTCTAGGGGACTACCTCACGACAAAGCCTTGTAGTAAAGTCTTGCTTGTCAGCAACCGTGGCAACATAAAATGTTGATTAACTATGTCTTCCTGTCATCGCAAAAATCTCGAAGGTAGACTGACGGACAAGTCGTTGATGGGCAAGGAATTGAATAACGTTACAGCACCTCGCTGTTTGACAAATCATTACGAGGAGAGCGTTGTCGTCCGCAAACTCTGCCAATGTCAACGTTATCCCACATCAAACTCCGCAACTTACTAAGTTACACGACATTGTTTTGTTCAGTAGATTATAAGGCTTATAGTTCTTCTGATCTGGTTCATGTTCTCAAAACTGCCATCAGTCAGATTACGATTACACTCATCATATCCTCAAAATTCAGCAATCGATTGCTCTTCTCGTCGAATCCAACATGAAGGAAGCTATTGTAGACTGTAATACCCAAGTTCAGCTCGTTGAGTCGCCTGTCCCGACTTTTGGTCCAGGCCAGGTCCGCATCAAAGTAGTTGTGGCTGGAAGTAATCCCAAAGATTGGTAAGACATCCCGGCATCCATGGCTCTTGTAAGAAAAACCTTTGTTGATGACCATTCAAATAGGAAAATTCCCGTTTACCATGGCAGTACACCGATGAATACTGGCGATGATATTGCTGGGTATATCGATGCTGTTGGCCCTGATGTTACGGAGTTCAAGACCGGTGATCGAGTTGCTTCAATGCATCAGCCTGGAGCACCCCATGGCGCCTATGCAGAGTACTCGATTAGCGGGGAAGAGACCACCTTCCACATCCCCCCCAAAACGAGTTTTGAGGAAGCTGCGACGATTCCGTTGGCTGCATTGACGGCAGCCACGCTCGTCTTTCGTGGACTCAAGGTTCCTGAACCTTGGGCGTTGAACGATAAACCTCAACCCCAGCCACTGGTCGTCTGGGGCGGCGCCTCTGCTGTTGGAGGTTTTGCGATCCAGTATGCCAAACGGGCCGGCTTCCAGCCCATAATAGCTATTGCTGGGCGCGGTATGGAACAGGCCCGAAGCCTTCTAGATGAAAGCTCTGGAGACGCAGTACTTGACTATCGGGCTGGAGGGCAATCCGTTGCAAGCAGTATCCGTGGTCTGTTGAAAGGAGCCCCGCTACGGTATGCACTGGAAGCTGTCTGCCAAGAAGACAGCTCCCAGGCTCTGGCAGACCTTTTGTACCCCTCCTTGGCCGGAGAAACACCATCGAGGCTGATAGTTGCTGTACCCTTGATGGAAGCCCAACCGGATAAGAAGGGCCAGATTGTGCCTTTCGACATGCCGCTTAGGACGGAGGCAGCTTTCCTCCCGGTAAGCTTCATCTATGAAAGCGACGCTGGCCGTGATTTTGGCTTCGTGCATGCTAGGTACTTGAGCAAAGGTCTGCAGGATGGCTGGCTGAAGCCCCATCCGCACAAGGTTGTGTCAGGTGGCCTTGCTGGGATTGAGAGCGGGCTGAAAGATCTTCGGGAGGGAAAGGCGAGCGGAACGAAATTTGTATATAGAATTGAGGAGACACTTGGGCTTTAAAGTCTCACGAGAATGGCTTTTAGGGTTCCTTTACACAGCTTTTTGGCTTGTCTTGACAGAATCATAGGAGAAAGCATGTAAACTAGGCCAACGATACAGGATCAAGCTCCGGTCTCCCCCTTTCTATCTATCTTGTTTGAACCCCCTATATCCGTCTTTGATTCTGCGTACGGTTTACTCAAGTAGACAGACAAGACGATGTACTCACTCAATCTTCTCTTCTTCCAACGGCACAAATCGCAGAAGGCACCTTTGTCCAAGGGGGCGAGCAGAAATAACTTGGTCGTGGGACCTCATGCTTTCGACCGTCATAGACATGTCCGGAACTGTGGTGAATTGGCCATAAATATCCCTCAGTAATAACTTCATCTCAGCAAGAGCAAGACTAAAGAGAAATCATCATTAGTCTAGGTGCATCCCCGTCAAACAAGATGGTCTACTCACTGCTTGCCAACGCAACCTCTGCCGCCATGTGAGAATGCAAACATGTGTCGTTTTCTCTCAGCTTCGCCAGTAGTAGACATCCACCTCTCCGGGTTGAAAACGTCTGGATTCGGGAAGACGGCGTCGTTGTTTCGGTGGACCGAGTAGGCCTGGCTGCTGACCATGCTGCCCTCGGGTACGAAGAAGCCATCAATCTGCTTACCCCCATGGGGCACTACTCGAGGCAAAGACATGGGAATAGCCGGGAAGCATCTAAGTCCTTCTTGCACTACGGCGTCAAGGTACGACAGCTTGTCGAAAGAAACGTCGGGGTTCTCTCGAATCTCGTTTTGGAGCTTCTTCTGGAACTCGAGGGATGATGGCTGTGAAAGCTCCCACATGAGAAAGCATAAGGAATCTCCTGTCGTGTCGATACCTGCGACCATATGATCCATGGATTCCGCTGCAATGTCCGTACTATCAAGCTGGTTGACGCTGCTGCTGCTCTCAGTCTTGTCTTGGAGGCGGTTCAAGAGAGTGAACGGTGCGGGATCGATCTTCGAGGTGGCGCCGATGACGAAGTTTTGGGCCAAAGGTGTGGTGCGCGGATCAAGAAAAAGATCCAGAAGCTTCGAGAAGTATTGATAGAAGACAGGATAGTGGTGCTGGACGAGGCGGCCTGGTCTGTTAGCATCACAGCCGAGAGACAACTCGGAATAAGCTTACTTCGAAGGCTGTCGTCGCTGGTAACCTGATGCATCATGTCCAAATCTTCTTTCTTCTGAAGACTGTTGGTTCCATAGGGATGAAACAGGTGATGGGTGATGCAGTCACAGGCATAAGCGTGGAGGGAGATCTAATCAGGGTTAAGAAGCCGTTCAGAACGGTTGGCACAAATTGATGGTGAAACTCACGTAAACATCCATGCTGGTTTTGGTATGTTCACCACACTGCCTGACAAATTCCTTGGCTCGCTTCTCGATGCCACTGAGCGCTGTAGGTTTTACGACATTGCTGTTCGCGTAGCGATCAGCGATGATGCGCTTGCGCTTTGCATGCTATGGCGGAGCTGTTAGCGAGGATTATCGAAGAGGGCTGATACACTAACATCGCCCTTTTCCAAAGTCGAAAACATGGTCCTGCACAAAATGAATCAGCTTGGAGTACTCATTGGTCAGCTAGCAGCATCGCCACATACCTGCGCTTGAAAACCCGGAACAAATTGTAGAAGCTGGACTTGTCGTAGCCGCTTCCAAGAGACCCATAGATCTCCTTGACAGCCTCGTATGACGTGAACGACACCTCATTGGGGGCGATGCGAACGACCGGCCCGTACTTTAGATGCAGAGAGTGGACATATAGCGTTCTCGTTGCATTGAACTCATTCCACCTAAGGGCAAGAGGCGTAATTCTGGACCAGAATGGTCCGGGAAGCTTCCATAATGGTGATGCGATGCAACGAGCTAAGTAAAACACGATCAAGGCCGCGAAGGCAATCGACACAAAAAGTGGGCTGAACAGCATGTTGTGCTTGTTTGACTTGACGCCAGTTGAGTCGAAAGAACTAGATCTTCACAGCTACTGGGGGCGGAGAGGGGTACATATACCCTATATTCCCCGCGGGGTCGAACGCCTGGTAAAAACGGGGCAGATAAGCCGGAGCTGATGAGACAAATCAGAATCTCTTTGTAAAAGTTGTCAATGATTCATTTTGAGTCATGGTTCGTTTACCCCGCTGAATTTGTTGAATCTCTTCCCCTAATGTTAAGAATTGGCGAGTTCCGGTTGCTGGGCTTGAAAGCAAACAAAGCCATCGTCGGAACGGCCCCGCAATTGATCGCTAATGTTAAGAAGACCCGACGATGCGGATCTGCCGAGTTCACCGATTGTCACAGTTCCCCTAATGTTAAGCGCAGCCGCAGGCCCACCTCCGAGTGTCTCCACTCCGGGAAAGCCAACCTCCGGTTTGCTGTTTGAAATCAGGGCTTATCATTTGGTCTAGCCCTCTTTCAGTAAAAATTGCGCACGGCGTGCAGTATCGCAGACGAATAGAACGCATGCTAGCTCGGGACACAAGCAAGGGCATGTTGAAGAGCATCGACGGTTGTCAACCGTTGATTGTGACTCAATGAATCACGCACTTATTCGACTACCTCTGTATGAGATGCTTCTGTAGACATCCATGGATAGTGGCCACCAGTTCGCGTACTTATTACACAACATTAGAATCCCAAACGTACCTCAGGAGGTAAGATTGGAATAAGAAGCCGTCATTGAAATAAACCTTGAAAACGAAGACTCTTGGAACCCTCATAATGAGCAAGTTCTTACTTCTTCTCATGGGCATTAGTCTTTTGTCTCTAAAACCCCGGCGATCTCTTCAAACCCAACTCTTCGTAGACCACGGACGGATACATGAACATATGATCCTCGTCCCAGTCGTTGTACCATTCATTTAGGTCGTTGTATTGTTGAACATAATTAGATGCACGGACATATATCCATCCATTTGGCCCTTCGTCGTGATCGATCATCCAGCCATCCTCATAGTCTGGATGCACGTCGTCGCCTTCTCTGAAACGAATAGGTTGCCGCTCTCTCTTGAGCAGAAGGGCCACGGGACCGGTGTGTTTGCGTGTCTCGTCGACGGACTGTAAGCAGACGTCGTCGATCACCATGCACACGTTATATCGAGCGCCATAAAACATCATCTGCTTCGGACTTGGCGGTCCTCCATACGGAAACAATCCCACCTCTGGTGTTTCTGACCTCTCTTTCCAGTTCCTTGCCAGTTCCTGTCTAGCCCAGGTGTCGAAATGGACCTTCACTTCGACTGGACCGGCGCTATCGAGGCTTTGCTTATCTTCGATGAAAGTAACCTGATGACGGCTGCGTAGAGTCCGTCGAACATGGTGAAGCGGATGACCTACGGTGTCTTGTATGCATGTTTCGATGTGTTGTCGCATTTTGCGCCATGAGGATTCGTCGCTGTAACAGGTGCGGTACACAGCAAATCCCCATGGTGCATTAGGCTTGAGGTCATCGTTTCCTATCTCGTAGCATATTGAGTCGTAAGTTTCGACTTCGTTTCCTAGCATTGCTGCGAACTCTACCCAGTTATTCGGCCATTTGTTGGTTTCTTCGAACGGATATCGTGTGCAAAAGTTTACGGAACGTAAACGAGGGGTTTGAAAACTAGCAGCGAGCCACGCGGGCAAGGCTGCTTTTGCTTGAGCGTAGCGATAATTTGACTTGAATAGTATCTGCCGTGTTCGTGAACTGACGGGCATGTGAATGCGAGTCATCTACCGATTGTGCTACAGCTTGTGATGTTGATGTCTTGATGAGCTCGATGAGAACTTGGAACATTGTTGGCTAGAAAGATGATATTGGTGGCCCGTGCATCATCCCTGAATCCGATCAGTCGACGCACGGTTCCAGGTCCTCGGTATGGCAACCCGGATCTCTGGGCCAACACCATTCCTGATCCCTCAACTATCTTCCCCCAAGGTGTCTGTTGGCAACGGGCACTACGCATATTTCACACTTCGACCGTGAAGCACAGAAGAATTCTATTGGTGTCCCGGGATTAGATGAGATTATCAATCTCCTCAATGACATGGCCAAAGTCGCCCTTGGCTGGCCATGATAACCAGACTGTTCGCGGGATGATAGTTTCAAAATTTTGCATTTCACTCATCATTCGCATCGAACAAGCTTCAAAGCGCACCGCAGCGCCGGGCCAGATCGAAGTCTGCCATGGCCATTCCACGTGGGCACGGGGAAATTACGGGTATCTATCCCGTTAAATCGCACCATTGACTTTATATTCCGCACCGACGCATCCGAATGTCACCGCCGAGCTTATCGGGACAGATAGAACGTGGAGAGACGGACATCACAGAGCCCGGCTCGCCGCGCCGATGCCGGCATGCCGTAATCTGCCATGGAATTTGACTCCTGCATCCACCCGGAAAACAAGGGAATGAGACCAGCTGGTATTAATGTTTTGCCAGAAAACCTTACAATGCTCCGGCTCTCTGGGAGCGGAAATCCCGGCCGAGGACGGAAAATCTCGCCTTGGTGAGGGTCCGGACTCGGGCCCCGGACGTATCACATTGGACGATTAATTGCACCATAGAACCTTGACATGCCATACCCCTGTCGTGACATTCCGATTGATACGAGAGCCACGCAAATGATGTATGTTTATTAGGGGTAACAAGTCTTAAAGAACGAAGTGTTGCCTTTCAGTATTCTGGTAGACCGAACCCGACGATTTGGTACGCGAGAGACGATAGTGATTGATGGAATAACGATGGCGTCATTACCTCTGGAACTCATCGAGCACATTTGCTCTCTCTTGTGTCCTCATTGTCAACGCCTTGGCATCTTCTCCGACATTGTTACAGAAGACACGCGTTCGTCGCAAAAGGCCTTGGCCCACCTATGTCGAGTTTCGAGGCGCGTCTGTGCCGTGGCACAGCCATTCCTTTTTCATCAATATTGCACAGGCAATCTACCGGCGGAAAACGACTGCGGATTGAGAGGGCACGCACGGTGTTTACCCCGCGAAGACGACAAGTTACCGGCATTTCTTCACAGTATCATCAGCCGACCAGACTTATCCTTCCACGTTAGAACCCTTCAGATCGTGGAGACGGACGAAATTAGCGGGCTGACGCCGGATCTGAGCCCTTTGATCTTCACAGCGAGCCAAAAGGTCAGAGCCTCACGTCATGCTCCAACACAAGAACATCTGAGAACCCAAGTTTGGCAAGAGTCAAGACAGCCAGAAGCGTTACAGAGGATCAACCGGCGAAAGGTGCACCACTGGCTGGAAGAGCTCGCCATTCTCTTAACGCCCAACGTTGAGATGATCTCGATAGCTCGCGACAGCTTTTGCCAGTATCAGCACATCAAAGACAGCGGGGTTTTATTACCATCACTCAGGCTCATAACCCTCCGAGGAGTCACGAGAAATCAGCACGTGCACGAGGCAGCCGCCTTGTTCAAGGCCGCACCCAATCTCAAGGTCCTCAACTCCATGCAATGCAGCCTCTTTGACGGTCTCAGTCCATGGAATATGAGCAAACCATGGACATTATCGCTGGGTAGTCTCAAGAGGCTGGTGCTGAGCGAGATCGGGTTTGAAGACCTTGCTCTGCTCCTAGCCTGCTGCCCAAAACTACGGGAGCTGGAACTGACGGCTGTCAACATCCATCGGACGGCGGGTATCGACTACTGGGATGTCTCCAAACTGTTGCAAACTTTGGTTCCCGTACGACATCAACTTCGGAAGCTACGCCTCACCCATTCCCCGAGCCAACGGTCTGGCGCGGAACAGAGACAGTGGACGGATGAGACATCCCTGTCGTTTCGAGACTTTGTCCAGCTTGAAGAGTTGGCTTTCGACCATACCATGCTCGAGTACCACACGAGGCCTACGGCTTTTGACGATGAGATACTTCTGGGGTACAAAGTATCCGATATGTTGCCGACATCACTGCAAAAGCTACAGCTTTTGCACGTCAAGAAAGAATCTCTGAAGGATCTGAAGCACCTTGCCGGAAATGCCAGCTATCGATTGCCGTCTTTGAAACTCGTTCATATCAGTTTCGCAGACGGCATAGACAAGAGAGATGTCGGGTACAAACGCATAGATGACATCACCGTGGCGCTGCAATCGGCTGGCATGAGCGTGCTCTGGGACACAAACCATGTCAGCGAAAAGCCATTAGAACCTATTCCAGGCGGCGTAACTGCACTTAAGTCGATCCAAGTATCTTTAGCAACGGCGGGTATCGATAAATTAGCCTTGTGATGGTCCAATGGAGACTCCTTGGGTAGTGTAGGCAATCTCAAATAATCCGAAGGACAAAGTTTACCGTATGATTTGGTCAACAGAATACAGGCCAAAATGTCGATGAAGACACTTTGAAAAATATCTTCACTGATCGGTTACCGCCAGATTCCCCCTTGTCTGGTCACACCACGGAGCGCTGGAAAGGGTCCCAGACGCAAATGCGTCGATGTCCCAGAACCTTGAGTTCGGTATCAATTTGATGCAGCTTGCACAGATCTAATCGGGCCGGAAAGCACAGTACTCTTCAACTCGAGATTGGTATAGAAACTGTGCAATCACATATTCAGTGTTCCATCTTGCCCCTTGTCGACGCCGCAACTGAGAGGCCGCTGAGATCTCGCGAGGCAAACTATGATGGAGGAGTTACAAGAGGCGACTGAACGTTCCACCCATATATCCAGGTGTAACGGACATTGCCAGTTCGGACCATTTGTTTGCTAAAATTGCGTAGGAAACATCATTGGACATGTAGCCAGCCGTGCCGAATGTTTCTCACCAGTCACCCGCCGGACATGCCCATAATGAGCGAGCCGAGCTATGGAACTGTCTTGTCGTCGGATATATTGTTCGATTCTTGTCTTAGATCAGCGACATTAACAGAATGCAGCCGTGATCCAGCAGTTTTGACACATGCGCATGGCGTTTCAACCGCATAGTATAGCCGCCCCTTTCGAAACGGTCTCAAGACTTCGTTTCTCAGCATGTTGTCAACGGTCTTGTGAATGGGGGGACAGGCAGAGCTAGTGCTGAATAGGGTCGAGAGAGCGAGGGGCCAGCGTCAATTGAGAGACGTTAGTTGTTCTGGATCATTCCAGACGACGCCATTGGCTGCTAGCTTCCCGAGACATTCTGACTTTTCTATAATGCTGGTGTGTCAGGGGCGCCAATGGCGCTGCCTCAGTTGGCGTCATGGTGGTGGTTGAAGCAATCGTGTCTGGTGGAAGCGCCGGAGAGCCACTGCAGAATCATAACCTACTGGGTGCGATTGAGGCGGCAGTGAGACGGCGTAAAGACTCGTGGCATAGCGCAGGGCAGGTTTCAAGTTACACCTGTCCCAACGCGGTTGCGACGCAAACAGTGAGGCAGCCGCTCCTGGGTCTGCGGGGGAGACTGTCTCGAGCTTGTCAATCTCAGCACCTGAGTGAGCAATAAGCACTCAAAGCTACTGCACATTTTACCATCAATAATTACACCGCATCACTTGGTACATACCTCAGGCGTGAACTGGTCAAACTGTAACCCAGTCCACGATATGTGAGTCCCATCAGGGCATGCGCCGCAGGAGTCGCCGTCATCTTGCCACGTGTAAACCATGAACTTTTACTGTTCCATTGGGATTTAGAATCAATTAAAGGGGCTTAATCCTCTCTTTTTTGATTCCTTCGCTTGAGTAGAATAAGCTATAACACTCCGTTATCTCAAGGACTATATCAGCAACTTCACCGATGCTTGGACGTAGTGTGTGATATGGTAGAGGGAGCTTGCCGCCTGACGGTTCATAGTGGAATGTAGCCTTGACATTGAATAGGAAGCAACAGGAGCTTGTGATACAAACAGTCGTACATTGAGAAACAATACGACCCGAGGTGGTGTCCCAGGCTAACAGGGGTATTGAGATGGTACTTGTGTCCATGTAATACAGCGACCACAGTGCTGGAATCTGTTCATCTGTTGGATGGTCTTCGGCATCGAGTCTTTGGTGCAACAAGATCTGGCAAGTATTGAGAAACTTTGTCCATGAGTATCCAGGCCCCGCTGGTGTCTGCCACCCTCACCGCCGGGACAGGTTCCGGACCGCTCTCTGACTTGGGTCTGATTGACACAAGGTGAGTGGACTGGTGCAAATACCGGTAGCAATGAAGATGAAATACTTTTGGGATTCTTAGAGCGAAGCACGGATAACTGTAGGGAAATAAACTTCAAAAAGCACGTTGTCCAAGCACGAGTCTCGGCGAAAACCCCGAACCAAGATAAGGGAATGAGCAAGCCGGAGCATATTGATCTTTGTCTTGGGTGGAAGACCCGAGAGTGGTCGAAAGTGCCAGATGAGAGACAGAAGGCCTGATGGTCCTGGCGAGGAAGGTCGCTGTGTGAGGGGGTAGTAGAGGGTAACTTGAAATCACCGACGGTTCCCCCGAAGGAAGGTTACGTACCGGTTTTTTTAATGGCACTCGATGTCCGTTTTTGATAAATTCCAGAAACGTGTCATATGTCGTGAAAGCTGTCGTTAAGACTGACATTGAAAGATCGGCAATCCATCTCGATCCTATCATCGCATGCATTCTTCAGCGCTAGTGCAGAGAGATGCTGCGATGCATAATTGCCGCGTTTGTTTTGGAAAGATCTCAGACCAACTGATTGCAGCATCGTGCAGGAGTAGGCCCCTGGTGGGCTTGTCCGTGTAACCCCACGATTCCCCCCCCTCCCCTAGCTCGACAATGTCTCTTACCCTGACCCGTCTCTCACGTATTTTCTTCCTTCCAATCCTGTCTGTTCCCGTGTGACCCATTTGACAACATGGCTCGGGCATTACCAAGGGCCCGTCAATGACGAGATACTGATTGCGTCGAAGGACTGGCAGCTGGCAGCGTTCTGCTAGTATGTATGTTCGATCAGATTCTATCAAGCTCGGCTTCGTTAACCCATTTCCGACAGAAAGTAATCTTCTGTACTAAGAATTCTAGCTCACGCCAAGTATCGTTTCCTGAGGCCAAGCGGTGCAGTACATAACCAGCCACAATATCCGCAGTGACAGATAACAGGCGACCACTATCGCGTGTAGGCGAGACTATCCAGACACGCGAGACAACGGCTGACACCACCCATACTTCCATGCCCCGAGCCACTGGCTGTCTTGTGAGACTTCGACAAGCCGGCACTTTGCTACCCCTTACCCTCTCCCTCCTCCTCCTCCTCCAGCAGAGCAGGGATCAGCTCGGTCATCTTCGACCCTTGACAGAATCGCGAGGGGCGAAGTAGAGACCCAAGCAACCGAATGTCTCGGAGACCTGCGGGCTCATATTGCCCAGCACAACTACCGACATTCGCTTCCGACTCCAAGACCCAGGTCCTCGGCAACATCTTAACTAGAACTATGGAATTAAGAATGGCGGATGCATCTACTTCTGCTATATAGCACGTCGATGTCCCGCTCATTCACCAGGCAATCATCAACACGCTGAGAAGGTTGTCACATTCCCCCTCCTTTCCGCTTCCCGGCCTGTGTTACAACTCATCCCGGAACTCTTGCGACCCTACAACTGGAGCTCGACGGCCAAGAACACCCATCTTTCTACTATGTTTGACCCCAAGGACCCCTCGATGTCACCCATCATGGAGTCGCAATCATTCCCCAGCTCCCGGGCATCCACCCTGGCCCCAAGTAACGGTAGCATCTCCGATATGGAAAAGGAAACAGGCACTTCAAGCGCTGCGGCCTCAATCCAAGATCTCAAGATTGAGCACATAGCTCTACCTAAAACTGCAGCAGCAGATTCCCCCTTGGATTCAACCTCCCTTAACAGGAGTACCAAATCAAGCGACGAAGTAATACCCGATTACCCGACGGGGATGAAACTTGGATTGATAGTTCTGGCACTCTGCCTTAGTGTCTTCGTCATGGCCCTAGGTAAGTGACCTACGACACCGGTCAGAAGATGAATCCGCTGAACAAGAGCGTCAGATAACTCAATCATCGCGACTGCGATTCCACGTATAACCGATGAATTCAACAGTTTGAACGACGTGGGTTGGTACGGAAGCGCGTATCTCCTGACGACGGCTTCCTTCATGCTGCTCTTCGGCAAGCTGTTCACCTTCTTCAGCATCAAATGGTTTTATCTCCTGGCCATCGCCCTCTTCGAGCTCGGTAGTCTTATATGTGGCACCGCTCCCAGCAGTATTGCGCTGATTGTTGGTCGCGCTATTGCTGGTATTGGGGGAGCTGGCATCTATGTCGGATCGCTTATTATTCTTACCTACAGCGTGCCGTTGGAGAAGCGCCCGATCTACACGAGTTTTGTCAGTAGCATGTGGGGGATCTCCAATGTCGCTGGGCCTCTCCTCGGTGGTCTGTTTACCGATAGCCTATCATGGCGTTGGTGCTTTCTCGTGAATCTCCCCATCGTAAGTAGCGTATAACCAGATGCAAATGATCTTTGCTGACAAGACGAAGGGTGCTGTCACTGTTCTGGTGATCCTCATCTTCTTCCCCGATCCTGTCCGAAAAGTGACAAAGGAAGGCTGGCGCACGCGCTTGATTCAAATGGATCCCATCGGCAACCTTCTCTTCATGCCAGCCATCATCTGTCTCCTACTTGCCTTGCACTGGGGCGGCGTCACGTACTCCTGGAACTCATCACGAATCATTGCCCTTCTGTTCATCTTCGGGACGGCAATGACATCTTTCATCTACATCCAGTATCGCAATCAAGACAACGCCACGGTTCCTCCTCGCATCTTTCGGAAACGCAGCGTCTGGTCTTCGGCTTTCTATGCATTCAACCTAGGTGCTGCTTTTCTTCTATCCGTTTACTTCCTACCCATCTGGTTCCAGTCGGTCAAAGGCGCTTCTGCAGTCAACTCCGGCGTCATGAATCTTCCCATGCTTGGTGGCGTCGTTATCTTCTCCTTGGTCGCTGGAGCTCTTGTCACTCTATGGGGCTACTACACCCCGTGGATGATACTCGGCTCAATGCTCATGGCTATCGGCTATGGTTTGATCTCAACATTTAAGCCAGATACTCCTGCAGGCCTGTGGATCGGCTTTCAAATCATCGCAGGTACCGGCGTGGGCTTCGGCATGCAGCAGCCCCTGATGGCGGTCCAGGTTGTCCTCGATGCGGCCGATGTACCAACCGGAACTGCGATCATCATCTTCTCACAGACGATCGGCGGTGCTATTTTCGTCGCTATCGGTCAGATGGCATTTACCAACAAGCTCGTCGACAGTGTTCGAGAATACGTTCCAGGCATTGACCCGGCTACGGTTATCGCCTCAGGAGTGACGGCTGTACGGGAGAATCTTACCCCAGAGCTTCTACATGGGATAGCCTACGCTTACAGTGATGCACTGGCACAGGCGTTTCTCGTTAGTGCCGTGACGGCGTCAGTTACCATAGTGGGAGCATTGTTCGTGGAGTGGAAAAGTGTGAAGGGCAAGGATGTACGAGCAAGCATCGCATGACAGGAGGACGGCTTTTATACTGTCCGCCGGCGGCATTAGAGTGGAGGTTATACATATGTAGAAAGGCGTTGTGGATGTTTGCTTTTATGGTAAGGCTGGACTGGCTTTAGGAGGTAGCTTCATTCAAATGCAACAGATCAAGATCGTCCCGTAAGCTTGCGCCTACCCCCACGTGGCCATGTAAGCACTACATGCAAGTCATGTCTGCAGTCTTAAATCTGACCAAGAGCCTCAATTTTAGATGCGGAGCCGCATATTAACAACTTGAAAACGATTTAGCTGCCATCCGCGATGCGAATAACCATCTTCTTTGCCCTCACCGTTCCCTCCTTCAGGCCCTTCAACGCTCCCGCAATTCCTTCGAGTCCGTTGACAACCTCATACGGGTGCGCCTTCATCCAACCAGACCTCAACCCTTCAGCAAACACCCTCGCCCAAATCAAGCCGAACAGCCGCCCCTGGCCTTCCTCTTCATGCACATGTCCGACGCTCGTGACAACAACCTCAACGCTCTTGTCGATCGCACCGTAGTCCCTTCCTGGCAAAACCGTAGTAACTCTCGGCTTGAATCCGGTGCCCTCCTCTAGGGGTCCCTGGATAGCCTTTCCGAGCATCTCAAATGAGCCATTCTCGCTCACGCAATCGAAAGCCTTGTAGCATCTTACTCCCGTCTTCTCAACAACCTCCTTCAACTTCTCCGCCAACTTATCCTGGCTCTCAAACTGGGTGTAGTCCAAGAACACATCACCCGCCCCCTCATCAAGTAGCCCGGTCACAAATTTGCTGTTCTTGCTGCCCACGGCAATGAGCGGGTGCACCCCAGCCTTCTTGGCAAGCTTCACACCGAAAGCTCCGATGGCAGAACTAACGCCGTAGATGATGAGAGGGCTCTTCTTCTCACGGCTGCGATCCCAGGGCGAAGGCACCTCAAGCGAGTGAAACAGCGCGGTTGCGGCCGTGTACGCGGCCAATGGCACCGTCGCAGCCTCCTCGAAGGTAATGCTCTTGGGAACGTGGAAGGCGGCGAAGGCCGGGACGATAGCGTACTCCGCAAAACTGCCGTGCTCGGTGCGCATGACGTGGAAGCCAGCGACGCGGTCGCCCTTTGCGAATTCGTAAACTTCGGAGCCGACCTTCTCGATTACGCCCGCGACGTCATCGCCTGAGTTGTGGGAAGTGCCGACCCAGGCGGGAAGCTTCCAGTCCTTCGGGTTGGTGCCTGATACCTGTTAGTGACTATCGTCCTGGACAATGAGTTGCGTGTGAGAAGTACCTGAAACGATAACCTTGATGAGGAGTTCACCCGGTCCCGGCTCCGGAACGGGCGAATCCTTGATGTCGACGGTGATGTCTGGGTTGACGATAGCTTCCTTCATTTTGAATATGGTGGTTGGTTGATTTTTTCAATTGGAAAATGCCCTGATTCAGGTTTTTTAATGAATTTAAGGTCTGATAACGTTATGATAGTCAAACACAAAGTCGACGTTGACGGAGTGACGTCAAGACTTGCCGGGATCCAGACCAAGACCCTTCTTTATACTTCTATACAGAAAACGCGGTTCCATTCTTCTCCACGGACCAGCGCACACTCTAAACCGTCTCAAGATGTTCTAAACCTGTTCTCTTCCAATCAACTCCTTCCAAAACACTTGCCGCCTCGGCGAATAAACAAGAGGCCCGGGCGACCCGTTCATCAGGCCCCACCGCATTTCACCATGCCGGGCCTCGCCCCGCGGTGATCGCACCATCACTTCAGATGAGGGGGGAAAACGTCAAGCGGATTACAAATCCAGAACCCATGTCTACTCTCAAAGACGGCCGAATATTGGTAAACTCCGCAAGCGAAACTCCGCGATTGTGGGACCGTGAATCCGAGGTGCATGCCGTGGTAGGCCTAGACCGGGTGCCACTGGAGTCTGCATGCCGGAACCCGGGACGGACCGTGATGTCTTGCCGCAGACAACAATCGGGTCTTGAAACTGCAGAACTCCTCGGTTTTGCGATTGATCTTCATCGGGCATCTATGTCCGAGGGATCCGGCTGGCGACAATTTCAACATTGATTCGTATTCGAATCCGAGCTCACCCTTGTAATAGATGAAGCAACCTCTGTTCAACTCATCTCAGTCTCTGGGTATGACTTTGGAAGAAGTCCACATAGTCAAAGAAACTCCTCTTGATCCATCTCCCCAACTCCGGATCGCTCCTGTTAACCCCCATCATGCCATACTGCTGCTCGAAGCTCCCAAACTCATTATTATCAATCCAACTCCACGCCAATGCCCCAATCACATTAACTCCGTCCTCGTGCACAGCTCTCAGAGTCTCCGTGAGGAAGTTCTGATAGTACATCGTCCTCTCAAAGTCGTACCTCTGCGCGTCCACCGGTGTCTCTGTGTCTGCGTATTGCGGGAACCCGAACTCCGTGACCATGATGCCGGAGGGCTTGAACGTATTCCAAACGTATCCGAACTGCTCTCGCACATATGAGGGCGCGATGATGGCGCCGCCCTCGGATACAGCGCCCATCTTCCAGCCATTGGCTTGCGTCGTGCTGAGTTCCACGCATGAGGGCCACAACGGGTCGGAGGAGTTTGAAGCACAGGCGTCATAGCCTCCGGAGGGATCCGTGGCGTACTGCGCTCCGTATGGGTCGAATGCCCAGAAGTCCATCGTGCCGTTGATGGTGGCGATCTGCTCGTCGGTCAGAGCAGTCAGTGTGATATCCGGCGTTCCTAAGACGGTTTCGGGGAACTGCTTTCCGAGGAACAGCGGGTTCGACATCACGCCGAGGATGAAGTCCTGGTATCGATAGGCGGCCTTCACATCAGCCTCGCTGCCGGGGTTGAGGGGCACGGCGAGGTTGTTCGCGAACTTCATCGTCAACTTCCCCGTTCCGCCCAGAGTGTCTTTGTACCAATGGTATACTTCTGCATGGGCCAGAAGGAAGGCCTTCAGCCCGTTGTAGTTGTTTCCCAGGTAAAACTGGACGGCAATGTTGGGCTCGTTGAACGTGACCCAGTACGGGACTCGGTCAGCATAACGCGCCAGGACCTGCTTCGCATAATACGCGAAATGCTTCGGGAAAGCCTCAAAGTCATCGAACACACCGACAGGGTTGTCAATGTGCATCAGCGTTGCGATGGGAGTGATGCCATACTCCAAGCACGTGTTGATCACATCGTCGTAGTGATCCAGCGCCTGCTGATTGACCGGAGAGTCCGCAACTCCGAAAGGAACAACACGGCTCCAGGAGATGGAGAAGGAGAAGTGCGGCACTCCCAACGCGGCGAGGCGCGCAATGTCCTGCTTGTACAGGAAGTAGTGCATGTCCGCGACGTTGGAGTCGTTGGTTCCCAGGGTGCCCTGACCGTTGACACCGGTCGAGTCAAGCAGCGCCGGACCGCGACCTTCAAGCTGGAGTCCTCCTTCGACTTGCCATGCGCTTGCTGCCACGCCCCAGACGAAGTTCTCGGGGAACTTGAGGCCTTCATTCTCGTTGAGAGGTCTAGCAGGTAGTTGCGGTGGGAAGATAAGATCGCTAGAGGGAACAGGCGTAGCCGAGGCAGTTGTTGTGAAGGGCGGCTCATGGGTGTAAGTGTAGTTTGACCAGAGGGCTGCATAGGCACTTTGTCCGTAAGTCCCATCGGGACTGGCTGTTGCTGATGGGTTGAAAGAGTACGTCGTGTAAGTGACGTTGGTAGGTAAGAGGGTTGAGGCTTGGGTGAAGTGAGGCGCGTATGGGGTGGCGATGGTCAGAGGAGACGGCAGTGGTGTCGGATATCGGTCCGAGGTCATCTGCTCGTAAGAGAATGTGCTGTAAGACCATGTTGAGGCTGCTGTTGACTGGGCCGTGAGTGATCCGGCGGACTCGAGGGCAGCGGCCGACACCCCGGCGGCGAGGAAAGCCCCGGCGAGAAGTGCTGTCATCGCGGCGAAGATGTTCAGAGGAGCGACCAAGCAATTGCCGAAGACCCAACACAGCGCGCGCCATCATTGCTCAACACGATCACTGTCTATGCTATATACGAAATTCTGATAGACAACGGCATCCACTCGATTCTACCGAGTCATTGTCCCGTACGATGACCGGAAAACCCGACGTGGGATTGCTCATCTCCCCCGCCTCCACACTCCCCCGCACCGGGGGCCATACCCCAGGTTGCATTAGTCGTCTAGCGAGCAAATGGAATGAGGCAGAACTGGTGATCTAGATTAAAATATTGGATTCGGGGGCGACGTTTGCTTCGGCCCGTACTTCGGCTCGGAAAGGCTTCGAGGAGCGGTGTTGCGGACACGGCTCTCAGCAGCCAACACCGCTCAATTCTAGAATGATAAAACTAGGTGTCATTCGACCATACACCGTTGATTCTTCATTTGCCAATGAATCCGTTGCTGCCGTAGACGTCTTTAAGCATTTCTATCCCGTCTGACCCAGACCACAGATGCGCACGATTGAGTCGTCTCAGGGACCTGGCCAGCACAGAGAAGTCCTGTTGATCAGTGTGAGGTCGTCAATCGAACCGAGCCGATGGTCTTCCGCCCCAAACATCTCGATTGAGTCGAGCCCAACCGAAAGTGAATGGTTGTTGATGAAAGAATCGGCCCTTTGGTGGATACCAAGACCGCACCCCGCCCCGGAAAACCCTGGCACCTGCGAGCCTGGAGCCGGGCAAGTTTGCCGGCCAGACTTATTGGGTGCGCAAAATAGATCGCGCCTGGCAAAGCAGGTTCGAATACGGGCAATACGAAGACGGCCTCGGCCCTGCAACCTGCGACGTGACAACCAACGCTGACTCATAAAATTGAAGTTACCGTCCACCGTGTCTGCACCGATTGCTGAAGGCCTGGTCTCTGGATATGGGCCTGCGTGCTAGGCGAGGATCTGTGCAGCAAACACTCGCATCTGGAAACACCGGTGATGTCCAATGTGGACATCGACTATGTTTTGTCTTATGACCATGGTTTGTCACAACCGCTGGCGCCGTTTTCGGAGGCCCTGCAGCATGCCGTAGACATTGAACGCTAGATTGGTCAAGGGTGAAGTGTGGCTACTGGCCAATTCCACAACTCTTCGCACCCATTTCATTGTGGAATGAACGCGCAGCATCGTGCAGTACCGGCCTGTATCTATGTGGTAAAGATGCAGTAATGCAAACGCGACTTTTCAGATCAGCGGTGATGGATGATGATGGAAGACGTCGAGAACACCTAACGAGGTTACAAGAGGAAGAAACATTGAACAGGTCGGGGAAGGCAGCGCGCATTGGTATTAGCCGTACTCAACCGAAGCTAGACCATATGCATTGAATATTGAGAGTGATGGAGAAGAAGAAGATATGTGTAGATGCTGAGATGCTGAAGAGACAACAGTTGGTACACAAACCATATTCTTCAACGCTTGCATCGGACCTGCCTCTTAGTAGATCAGATAGTCCATAATTCTTGGCACTTGACCGACCAAAGCACGAGGCGAAATTCCGTGACAAATGCCTTAGTATCAGTCCAAACATATGTCGGCTGCAACAAGGCCCGTGAGAAGACATAGGAACTTGTTGCTGGGCGTTACCCAAAGGATTGCTTCTTCTGCTCTAAAATGTACACTTCCGCTCCCGTTCGTAACGTGATCTTTTTTTAATTAATCAGAGGTTTCACGGGTCAGCATCACCAGCCTGTCTCGCCTGTACTAACATTAGCATCATCCCATAGTCATCTCTTCCTGAAGAACCTACCCGCACAGCTCCGGCACCACCAAGCTCTCTGTCCAGTCCACCGGGGAATTCTCTCGGGTAGGAAGGCTTGTCCGGGTAGTTCAGGTAGACGACACCGCAGACACCGAGGAAAGCGGTGATGAAAGCACCGATCTGGAAAAGACCACGGCCGGTGGTAGTCCATGTGTACTCGAAGGGGGAGAACATGCCGAGCAGATCGTGGTCTTCGTGTACGGGCTCGCCGAAGTTGCGGCGCTCCTGCTTATCCCACCAGTTGCCGTGGGGGTCGCGGAACTGGCGCTTGATGAAAGGAGGGTTAATGTAGCCGCCGTTCTGCAGGATGGAGCGTTAGCCATCGTCATCCGGATCGTTCTTTCTTACACCCTGTTGCAAACGCTGCCGCAAGCGCCATTGCCAATGCAGGACCACCACTGACCATGTTGGGGTCCTCCTGCTCGGAAAGCTTCGGGTACTCGGGGTACTTCTCCTCAAGAACGCTTCGGTCGTTGAAGGAGGGCGGGAAGAAGGATCGTTGCTGGACAATGGGAGTTCGGCGGGCTGCCTGAGCAGCACCGCGGATCGTCGAGACCCGCGCAATTCGTTGGGACAGCATCTGCATGGAGACGCGCATGTTAGCATGTGTCGTTCGGCGGAGTCAATTGGGCGTGGGGCAAAGCATACCGTGGCCGTGGTGGTGGTTACGACGCGGCCCAATTGCTTGATCTTGGATGTGATGTCGTCGCAGGTCACAACCGAAGCTTTAGTCGGTTGATGATTGACTGCCAAATCCCTCGAATGTGGTTGGCTGCGGCCAGGTCGCCCTGCTGCCTGAGGCCAGTATCCAGGATGCACGCTGACTAAGGTGCAGGGGCCAGGCAGCTGCACGGGAATAAGTGGGTCATTAGTCGAGGGGTCACTTGGGCAGGTAGGAGCGGCCAGTAAGGTGCTGCACCTGCTGATTCGACTTTTCCAAGGGAGCAGCACCTTCGCAGAGTCGAGCAGCCGCGCAGCACCACTGTAGCAGGAGTCCGTCCCAAAATTCTCTTTTCGGCTAGCCCCAGGCAAGGCCGAGCAGCGTCTTTGGAAAAAATCCATCCTCAAACTTTTTTGCTGATGACGCTGGTTTTGCACACGATTTCCTTCGCAGCCGGCCACCAAGACGTGTCATCATGGTCAAAATTCGAACTAGAACTCATTGAGCATTGACAATTCCGTAGACATTAATATTGATGCGTCAGATGCCTTGTTCGTCGCGATCACGGCCTCAACTCGCGTCCGCCCCCCGTTGCTATTATGACCAAGACCGCGTCGCCCGAACCCGCGCATGCAACCCCCGAGGCCCTCGAGTCCCAACGCGACAATCAGATCGCGTCAGCCTTTCAAGATGATTCCGATCCTCCCTCATCTCCGCTCGAGTCCCTGGGATCCGACGATTTCAGGGACCAACTGACACCCAACGGTGTTGACTTCATCGGCTACGGCCCACCTTCGCCCGCCGCGCCTGCATCGCCATCATCATCATCATCGCCATCGCCCGTCCCTCCTACGCCTCCGCCCGCCCCCGCGTCTCTCGATGACGACGACGAGCGTCCCTCGAAACGACGCCGTACAGCCGAAGCCACACCCTCCAACTCGGCAGGAAAGAAGAAACAAATCTCCCCGCCATGGAAGAAAGCTGGCGCCGACGGCCCGACCTCCTACACCGAGAACGGTAGACGCAAGTCTGGCCGCATCAACACCCTGCCTCTCGAATTCCATCCTCCATCGAACAAGCGAACAACACGAGGAGCTCTTAATAGCAGTCCACCTTCCAAGAACAAGTATGCCTCTACCAACGGCCATGCGACCCCGACACCGGCGTCCGCCGGAGCTTCCAAACCTCCCTCGCGAAAGTCTACAGCCGCCAAGCCCGCCCCCCTGAACCTCAAGAAGTCGAACAGAAAGTCCATCTCGAACGAAGCCAAGGCACCTGCGCGATCAACACGCAAACGATCCCCCTCACCACCATCCCAGCCAACGAGACAATCTACAAGGCCACGGCGTGGCCGTCGCAGCTCTATCGAGGACCTCCCCACCACGACGTCGACGAGCCCCAACCGCACACGAATCAAGCTGCGCGTACCACGGTCAACGGAGCTGCCCATTGTCCATCCCGGACAGGTTCATAAGCGGCTAAAGATCGGTCCTACATTCGAGGAATACTGGGAGAAAGCACAGACGATACATGTGGATGAGGGAGGTATATACCTGCCAGAAGATGGGCCAGCCTACACTGATGAGATGGCCAAGAGGGATGCCCAAATCGTCTTACGGGTAGAAGCGGCGGTGGAACCTGGCGGAATCCTTTCCCAAGAGCGATGCTCTATCTTCGTACCCGAAGCTGAGGAAGAGCCCCCGCGCCAATGGGCCCGTCGTGACCACATGGTTAAGGCCATGACAAACTTCCGAAGGCTGATGCTACAAGAGCAGCAGAGACATCGCGCACAGGCCAAGAAGATTGCTGAGGCTTGCCGAGATGCTTGGCTTCGACGCCAACCCAAATCGGCGGAGGAGCTTGAAGCAGAAGCAAGAGACGTATGGATTGGCCGATACAGGGTTGTAGTCAAGAGCATGTTTGGCACATGGGAGAGCGTGCGATTCGAAGTCAACAGACGACGCGTCCAGGAATGGGAGGCCGAGGAGGCGCGTAGAATTAAAGCTGCGCTACAGGACGTTGTTGATCTCTCCGAGCAGAAGCTTCTGGCGCGCCAGGCCCCAGCAGACTCCGATGTATCTGACGAAGACGGTCTTCCCGACGACGACGACAACGACCCCGATGGCCTTGATAGCGACGCGGAGAACAGCCACGCATCGTCAGTTGACGCTGATGATGACGATTCGGGCGACGAGGACGACGATGTCATGTCATCATCGGACGAGGACGAAGCGGGCGAGGAGCACACTGGTGATGCCGGTGATGAGAAACTTACTCAAGAACAGCTCCGCGCGAAGTATGCCAATCTGCCCGATTTGGCTGCGGAGGAGCCCGCCGAGAAGCTCGTCAATGGTGTGGACTCCGGGGCAGACGTGAAGATAGTGCCAACAAGCGCCGCCGAAGACGACACCTCTGATGAATCGGTTGACATGGATGACGATCTTGGATCAACGGATATGGACGATAGCGACGATGGATCCGATGAGGAGAAGGGTTCCGGAGAGGAGAGTGAAGACGAAGAACCTGCTGGATTGCTTGGCATGCTCTTTGGCAAATCCGATCTGAAGAAGATGAAGAACGACGAAGCAGATGACGAAGAGTCCACGAAGAACGATGCACCTATAGTGGAAACCCCTGCTGCACAAGGCGAGGCATCCACTCCGTTCAGGGATGAAGCAGTCGATGATGAAGATGAGGTTTCTTTGATTCAGCACCCCGGCATATTTGTCGATGAGGATGAGATGGATGTCGACAAGACCATTCAGGAAAACGAGATTGCTCTGGCTGCTGAATCTGAATGCGGCTTACCGACAGAGACTGGCGTGGCAGAGTCGGAGGACAAGCCCATGGCGTCTTCACCAAAGGCTGACGCGGAGATGGTTAACGGCGTTGACCCCGCCCCTTCGACGACGAACACCACTGAACCCCCCACTGCCGATCCTGTGAAGGATGTCAATACTCCACGTGGAGACATTGAGATGGAAGATGCGCCGCCAAAACTCGATGCACCAGAAACCGCCATCGCTCCTGATTCAGAGGCTCCATCCAAACACGTGAGCCCTGATACCGACGTTGTTACTGTGCCGCCTAGCCCAGAACAGAGTCATTCGCCCCCGACGTCTGATACGAAGCCTTCCGAAGTAGACACCATGTCTCTGGCAACGCCTGGGGTGAAAGACATTGTCAGCCGCTCGGCAACGCCAGCAACGCCCGCCACACCGCAAGCCACGAAAACGGAAATCCCATTCCTTCTCCGCGGCACCTTGCGCGCGTATCAGCATGACGGATTGGATTGGCTTTCGGGTCTGTACGCCAACAATACTAATGGTATTCTTGCAGACGAAATGGGTCTCGGAAAAACAATCCAAACCATTTCATTGCTGGCCCACCTCGCTTGCCATCATGAGGTGTGGGGACCTCATCTTGTCGTCGTGCCCACGAGTGTCATGCTCAACTGGGAAATGGAGTTCAAGAAGTGGTGCCCTGGCTTCAAGATTCTGTCCTACTACGGAACCATTGAGGAAAGAAAAAGGAAGCGCCAAGGATGGAATAGTGACGATGTTTGGAACGTGTGCATTACTTCCTACCAGCTGGTCCTTCAAGATGTGCAAGTCTTCAAACGTCGCAAATGGCACTACATGATTCTTGACGAAGCACATAACATCAAGAACTTCAAGTCACAACGTTGGCGCAGCCTGCTCGGATTCAACACACATTCTCGGTTATTGCTTACGGGCACCCCATTGCAGAATAACTTAACCGAGTTATGGTCGTTGCTGTTCTTCCTGATGCCCTCCTCTGAGAACGGTGCGGGCGGATTTGCAGACTTGCATGAATTCCAAGATTGGTTTCGCAAACCAGAGTCGCAGATCCTGGAGCAGGGCCGCGATACCATGGACGAGGAGGGCCGCGCCATCATCGCAAAGTTGCACAAAGTACTGCGACCTTACCTGCTTCGAAGACTCAAGGCGGACGTTGAGAAACAAATGCCGGCGAAGCACGAGCACGTCGAGTTTTGCCGCTTGTCCAAGCGGCAGCGCGAATTGTACGATGGATTTTTGGCTCGTAGCGATACGCGGGATACGCTGTCGTCGGGCAACTATCTGTCCATCATCAATTGTCTCATGCAGCTGCGAAAGGTCTGCAACCATCCTGATCTTTTCGTGGACCGGCCCATCATGACATCTTTCCGGATGCAGAAGTCGGTGCCAGCGGAGTACTCGAGTACAGAATCCTTCCTTCAGCGGTCACTGCTGAAGGTTGAGCCCATGTCTGTGGTCAGTTTCGGGGTGCTGAACATGATTCCCACGCAGTTCGAGACGATGTCCAACACGACCGCCGAGAGGATCTCACAACTGAGTCTACACAGGGCGTTGATGGAGCTTCGTGAAGCTCAGAACGCCAGAGCCCACCTTGCTCGCACGAATCTTGACCCGTCAACCGTTGAGTCAAACATTGTCTATCTCGACAGCTTAGCTAGATGGCGTCGCTTCGAAGAGTTGCAACACAGTGTCTACCTGAACGCTCTTCGTGGCCAGCGTCGACCCATCTATGGCAAGCGTCTGGTTGACTTCCTCACTCTTGGGTTGGATCAGAGGCCAAGAAAACCTCGCCCAAAAGTTCCTTCTGAGGTTCTCAACTGGTTTGCCGAGGACTCAGACTTCCTTCGCGCAGTTATCCGCACCTCGGACGATCGTGCGGACTCGTTCCAGACCACTATTCAAAAGTTCGCTTGCGTCACTCCCGCAGTCATCAGTCGCGACATGAACGAAGTCATCTTAGGCCGGAAAGCTGCGAATGCATTCACCGACGAGGACTTGAAGCTATCTGCACCAGTTCGATGGGCCCCCTTCATACCCAAGCAGGCTCCCATCGACCCCTGGCACGAAGCCCGTATGCGCCTGAGCATTCAGTTCCCCGATAAGAGGCTGCTCCAATACGACTGTGGAAAACTTCAAGCTTTGGATAAACTGCTGCGTAAGCTTCAAGCGGGCGGTCACCGTGCTCTCATCTTCACTCAGATGACCAGAGTATTGGATATCCTTGAGCAGTTCCTCAACATCCATGGTCACAAGTATTTACGTCTAGATGGCGCCACCAAAGTCGAGCAGCGCCAAATTCTTACCGATCGATTCAACCACGACGAGAGAATTCTGTGCTTCATTCTTTCCACCCGTTCTGGTGGCTTGGGAATCAACCTTACCGGCGCTGACACCGTCATCTTCTACGACCAAGACTGGAACCCCGCCATGGACAAGCAATGCCAAGACAGATGCCATCGTATCGGACAAACGCGCGACGTACACATCTACCGACTTGTCAGCGAACATACTATCGAAGCCAATATTCTTCGCAAAGCATCACAAAAGCAAATGCTAGACGATGTCGTCATTCAGGAAGGAAGCTTCACAACAGATTATTTTAACAAGCTCTCCGTCCGCGACGTGCTTGGTGCCGAGGGCAACGACCTGGTAGACGACGCCGCTAACGCCGCCATGGACCGTCTCCTCGGCGGAGTCGACAGCGGCAGCTCACGCAACGCTGGCGAGGAACTTAAGCAGGCCGAAGATCAGGAAGACGTGGAAGCTGCTAAGGCTGCCGAGAAGGAAATTCAAGAGGATGAAGCCGACTTCAATGAAAAGAGCGCCGCACCCTCCGGGGCCTCAAGCACTCGGCAAGGCACGCCCCGCGACGAAGGCCCCAATGAGCAAAACGGACCCGGCCCCTCCGGCCTCGGTCGCTTCTCCGAGTCTGTCGCACCAGACGAAGATATCGAACACAACGCATGGGGCGAGCGTATCTATAATATTGACGAGTACATGCTCCGCACAATGGCAGAGCAACTCAAGGGCACGGCATTGGACTTGCCCAAAGATAAAAAGAAGAGCAAGAAGAAGGGTAGAGATACGCGCAAACGGTAGGCACGCGGATGAAAATCAAGTTTGTTTAAGGGCGTCTGGTGTGTCATTACTACTATCATCACATTCGCGTTTTGTGGTTTTCTTGTATTATAACGACAAAGGCATTGGGACATAAGATGGTCAGTGTAGACCTAGCATGTACATTGGTACCGGCGTGGATGCGGCATGGAGTTTTGAGGAACGGATGCCCGAGTGCGGGACATAGACGATGAACAAAATAAGAGAATCTCCAACCACTTTCATTGTCCTCCGTGAGTGTCCAACATTGTTTACATGGTCCGGTTCCGTCGAAACTTCTGCTCTGAACCTCCCGCTCGGGGACTTGGTATCCAAGACACCTCCGCGGACAGGAGTCTAGTCTTGGTCTCAAACTCGTCACCTGTCGACCTTCCTTGTCTGACTAGGCCGGGACAAGTCGTCACCCAGACGCCATCCATGTCGGCCTCCCAAGTCTCCCCACTCGCCAAGGTCATTGCATTGCTATTGAATGGCTCTCGGAGGTCAGCAAAAGTCCAGTCGAAGCGCACGGCTTGCCTTTTCATGGCTTCGTCGAGCTTTGCGGCCTCTTGGAGAATGTCGAACACTTCGTCAACGAGGCCTTTGGTGAGTCTTGTAAACGGTATGATGTGTTCGCAAGTATACCTGCAAGCTGAGCCGATCTCTTTCGATAATGCTCGCTTGCTTCTTTCCTTTGCATCCTTGGACGAGTTGATTGAGTCGACGACCATTGCTGCCGTCTCGGCTCTCCAAAGACAGAATCTTCGGCATGCCTCGATATCATGATCGCTTCCTTTGTCATTTGCTGTTGAGAATTAATATCCATATTGGAAAAAGCCATTATGGATACTTTGGTACAATGAAGAAACATACCTGGTTTTTGCAACTGCTTAGACAATTCCTTGAATGCTTTGGACATCTTCTCCCCGGCCCAAAGAGCCTCGCCAAAGACATTCATGTATATTGTTTCCCATATCAGAGCCTGTATGATATGAGGTCGCCGCCTGTCGGAACGAATATATTCAGCCGTGATATGACGGCCGCCGATAACATCTGACAAATCCTTCCACCCCTCATAGTCCTCAGAGTCGACGATCTTTCCGACGCTGGTATCGCCTGGCAACTTTCCACTGAAGTACTGAATTGCAAACCGACTAATATTGTACCGGAGCCTCGTCACGGAATCCCTGAGCTCGCTGTCTGTCATATGATAAAAACCTCTTTGTTGCGACGATTTGACCTTGTCGAGGTCAGTGGCTGCTTCCTTCCATTTCTTTCGAACAGCGACAAGAGATGTCTCTGAATCTTTTAATTTGATTTCGCATTCCGCTAGCTTGCGATCTTTCGCCTCCAACTCGGCCTCAATATTCTTTCGGCGCGAAATCTCTCTGTCGTATTCTTGCTTCGCTACAGTCTCGTGACTGGGTGTCTGACTTTCACTTTGACCAGTGTACGGGGTAGTATTCCTCTTTGGCGTGTGCGGCGGCATCTAATGTTTCTTCTCTTAGTATCCAGAGCTAGATTATGCTCCATGCTTTGGAGCAAATCAGATACTTACGGAAGCCGCCCGAATAAGTGTGGGAGGTGCGCCGCCGAACGGCTCAAGGGGGTGCTCTTTCTCGACATGAAAGGTTGAAGAGTCTTTGGAAGATTCATGTGTACTTTGAGGATGGTTCCAAGGTGAGAGCAGATGGCGACTAGCGCTGGGTTTGGGCTGTATCTCAGCTCGGTCCATGCTGGCCATCTGACGTCGTTGAATGCTTCCGCCAGGTTCACGCAAACAATCGCTCGTGTAGAAGATGAAACCACTGTCCAAGAGGCGCCGAAGAGTTTGAAGGTCTGAAAGAGCTACGAGCTGTAAAATTCTAGACACCCACTGCAGCATGAGGCGAAATCAGGCTGCATCAGTTGCAGCCTGCACAGTGTTAGCGCCACCTGACTTTTGTCTGCAAGTAGATATACAAGCTGTGCCTTTCAGGTGCCAAGTACCAAATATCCAGCCTGCTTTCCCGTGGAACATGAACCGTAAGCAGCATGCCCGAGAAATACCCGAGCCTTGTCTTTGTATGAGAGAAGCGTCCGCGTGATGAATGCAGTAATCGTGGGGGCTGGATTACGCGGTTACGCGATTCAGCCTTTGGGCGATGTCTTTGCTGTAAGAGCGTGGCGCAATGCAGGCTGTGCTGGGGCTTCCCGTAAATCACTCACACCCTCAGAAGATTCCATCTAAACGGCGTCAGATAGTCACGAACAGAGAGCGAGGCTATGAAGAATTTTCAATATATGCTATGGAAAGCAGCAGTGCTGATCATGGAGGCCGCAAAATGCAATGAGGCTGTGATTCTTCGTTGAAACTAAGTCCACATTCTCATGTGGGAGTGGTCAGCAATGGGTAACCCTACCCACGGAAGACTTGCAGCAGACAGGAATCTTCAGCGGTAACAGGCCCTCAGTCTGTGGCTCCGTCCAGCTAGACTCCATGTAATACATGTTCTTCCCGAAACGCTTTCCTTCGAACCGACATGGGCTCGATCTTTGACCCTCCTTTCAGCATACCTCTAAGAAGCAGTCTCTATCAGACAATAAACAATCATGTTTCTTGGATATTAGCAAACTTAAGTAGGTCTTTCGTCTTTCCGATACTACGCTGATTTGTAGTTGGTGGGCTGGCCAGTGGTGAAGGATATATTGGCTACGCCCTGAAGCGTCAGCCTGATGCGTACACCCTTGAGCTGCGTCGCAATGTACAGCCCTTAAAACGAGAGAAAGATCTTCTACAGCGGTAAGTCATCTGGCTGCAATATCTAGGTTCCTCGTTCAGTAGTGATTTAATCAATAGTCCTCGTGCCAGCCGTATGTTTGTATTCCTCCAGGAGGCAGCCTTCCAAGGTTTTGAGTACATATGGCGGGCCTGTCGGGACCGTCTTCAGTTGTCGTAAAATACACCTTCAGCAGCCAACTATGAAGGGGGCTGTGTTAGTCGCCAGTCTTGTTGGTAGCCACACCCTGGCACACACACACCATTCCCCCGCGAGAGCTGAAGTTTCATACGTCTCCTGCCTCATGAAGTGCATCTCAATGCTGGAAATGTGCCCTTCTGCCACATCTTCGTCATACAGTGCGACTTCTCAGACGCTATCAAAGTTGAATTATTACGAGGTATCGCTAGATTGCGTCTCAGCAGGATGGCCAGCCAAGGGCACTTCGAGGTCGTTGATGTGCCTCGGGTCGCTTCCAGGCGTCCGGTCGATAATCATGGTCCGCGGACCATCCTCGATGATCAGGCTTCTGGACCTGGATATAGAAATGTCCAGAGCTAATCCACGTACATAAATTACACTTCGCCTTCAAATCCCTTCTCTAGGCCTTTTGACCACTTACCATCCCAGACATTTAGTTTGGGACTTGAGATTCGAAATAGCTCTGCCTCGACAGCCTAGGATCCCCCCATTCTTGCCTGCGTCTTGGCTGGCTCTTCCAGTCCAATACGGAGTGTCTTTGGTTACCTTTCGGTGGAATTGGCGTATACTTAGCCATGACACAAAAGACCTGTACCCTGGAACGATCCAGCGAAAATCCAGCCCGGAGATCTGTCCAAGATATCATTCGCAACCCGCATACTACTTACAACAACGGTAATGGTGGCAGTGATACAGGCATGATGGGAGATGACAGAAATGACGACATTCTTGTCATTGGAATTGATTTCGGGACTACGTAAGACCAACGAATCTAATAAAGGGCCCCGGAGTGTCTGATTGTTCTACCGTTACTAACACGTGGAAGATTTTCTGGAGTCGCATGGTCTACTGCAGCAGACTTTGCGAGGAACGAAATCAATCTCGTCACCAGCTGGCCAGGCAGCGGGACGCAAGAGGCCAAGGCCCCCACAGAGCTGTTCTACGAGTATGGCCAAGTCATGTGGGGATACGACATTCCCCTAGATGCAGATCCGATCCGATGGTTCAAGCTCCTTCTGGTGAAAGACGAAGATTTGACCAAAGAGCTTCGAAACTCAGAGCCCCTTGTTCACGCACGCAAGTTTGTAGACGAGACTGAGAAGAAGCCAGTTGAGCTCATTGCTGATTACCTGAGAGCTTTGTTTGAGCACACTCTGTATGTGATCCGAAAGGCGCGAGGGCAGTCAGTCCTAGACGCTTTGCGCTTCCATGTTGTCATCACAGTCCCCGCCATCTGGCAGGATTATGCCAGACGAGACATGGAACAAGCTGCAGAGATGGCTGGGATCATGGATTCTCGCCCAGCTGGGCAGACGAAACTCACATTTGCACCGGAGCCAGAAGCAGCAGCTCTCTCAACTCTGTATGAGTCGGGTAGAAACCTGAACAAAGGAGATGTCTTCGTCATATGTGATGCAGGCGGCGGCACCGTGGTACGTATCCATATTTATCGTGTTTCTCGCCTCTCAAGCCCGGAACATGAAGCTAAACTATGACAGGATCTCATCAGTTATGAGGTAACAAACAACAAGCCTCTTGCCATCAAAGAAGTCGGCGAGGGTACCGGTGAGTTACTGGAGCTGCCTGGCAAACCCGTCAGACACTGACCATGACCTTTTCCAGGCGGCCTATGTGGCGGCGTCTTCATTGACAAGGCCTTTGAGAAGGCTTGTAGAGATCGGCTTGGAAGAAAGTGGGGTCGACTCAGTCCAGCTGTTATCAAGGACCTCATGAAGAAAGAATGGGAGGTGGCAATCAAGTCCACGTTCAAGCCTGACACAAAGCGTAGTAATAGGGAATACATTGTGGGATTCCCGCTAGAGACCTTCAGAACACCGTCAGACAGTTTCGACGACCTGAGCAAGCAGCCACTGATCAAGAATGGAAGGATTCATTTTCAACAGTGAGTTTCGCCACCTCAAGGAAGCGCGCAATTCCTTAGAGCTGCACAGCTAATGATGATAACGCAGATCCCACATAAAGGGGATGTTTGCAGGATCTTTCAGGGGAATCGACACACTAGTCAATAATCAGATCCGTATGGCTCTCAAGAAGAAATCGAAGGTGACGGTGGGTAGAATATGCCATACCGTATCAATTCAATCGGGCTAACGAAATAGGGTATCATTCTGGTCGGGGGACTTGGAACAAGCCCTTACTTGTACGAACATCTCAAAGACAAGCATTCGACTTCCAATGTCTCAGAGATTTTACAGTCCGGAGGAATCAAGCCGTAAGCCTCTTTTTCTCTTTTCAGGCTCTCACATCAGGAGGCTCATAAGGGAAACAATCCAGCCGAACTGCCATTTGTCGCGGTGCCATTTACAAAGGTTTCCTCGAGAAACCCTCAGGAACTATTGTACCGCCCATCGAGGTCACTTCCACAGTATCTCGTTATAGCTACGGGATCAAGTACGTAACCGAATATAACGAGGCACAGCATCTTCGAGAAGACAAAATGTGGGACGGAAGCCAGTGGCGCGCTCGTAACCAGATAAAATGGTACTTGAAAAGGGTCAGTGGGAACAGCTTCAGCGCCATTTCTCCTGAAACTGACAAATATGTAGGGAGCCGTTGTGCCCAAGAGCCCTGTTCGTTATTCGTTCTATGAGTATATCAAAGACGTGGATGATTTTGACGGCACACTCAACATAACACTATGGGTATGCGAGGAGCTCGATCCGCCAGACCGGGAAGATTCTCGAGTGAGTGCCAAATGCAAATTTCAGTTGAATGTCACGACCCCATACTCAAAGCTACCCGACTGGAGGACCGCCGACGGTACCATGGTCAAGAAACTGGGCTATGAGATTGGAATGATTCCATCCGGGGCGTCTTTGGACTTTGCAGTATACATGGATGGCAAGGAACTGATGAGCCAGGACACAAGTTACACAAGTGTTCGGTTCTAATGAGATGTCAACAACTGTTTGGTCATGTATGAAGACGCGCGACAGGAGTCTTCTTTACGGTTTTCCTATGCTGAAGTATCACCTTTTGTTCTTTTTCCTTTTTTTCGAGTTCGACCTTCACTATGCAGGGAAGCTATACATAGTTTTTTATTCAGCCAGCCTTTGTTTCATCCGTAGCCCTGGTGAAATGGAAATCTGAGTTTCGCAAATGTAAGGTATGGTAACCGCATTGCATTATGGGGTCAGCAGAAGTTAAAGTACGACATCCAAAGTTGAAGCTTATGTCTACCTCGGGCTCAACCCTTGACCAAAGAGAAAATGAGGCTCGGCGGTCGTGCACCTCGGTTGAGGGCTATTCATAGGCACACGGGCCGTCGTGGCCATCGTGAGATAGTATAAGCCGACCATGATTCTCAATGAGCATATTCAGAACTGTCTGGAGAGAAAAGGAGAACCGGACCAAAGCAGTTGTCAAGCTTTTGACACCCAATTTGGCACCATGTCTCCTCTGTCCCTGCACACTCTCTGGATGATTGAGTCGCTCAATTTGGAAAGTCTCCCTGAAATACACATGCGCCGGGTGCGAGGAATCAGGGGAACCCGAGAAGTGTTTCTTGAACAGTCCATCTCAGTTTATATCATGTCATGTCTGAACTCGAATGCCGCATATTTCCATATCGAGAAAGTTCCGGCAAAATACCTAACAGAAAGAGATGATCATCTCGTCTGCCAAACTGTGGAAGACCCTCAAAGTCACCCCGACGCAGTAGTCTTCCCCGCCCTGAAGTCCGGACGTGACGATTCCCGACCAGCACGCTTCAAGAAACATCAGACCAAAAGGTTGAACCAACTCTGGGGCTTCTCAAATCAGAGCAAAGGGACCCTTGAGCAGTGTGAACAAGACGTGACAAATGCGAGTCCGAGTACACGAGTCACTCGGACTTCCAACACCTCGGCCGACCGTGGCGGGCGAACCACTTCTAGGCTCGTGAAGACACGCATACTTCCAAGGTTGACTGAGGTGAGCATCGACAAGCCAGACATCGAGTGAAGTGTGTCACGTCTCACCAATCGGATTGGCATTACCGAGCTGGCCACCAGGTGCCCTTGCACTGGACTCTGACACCTTTCAAGCCAAGCAAACGCCATCCATCCGACGAACTGACTGGAGCCATCCGCTGGCCTGGCCACCCTCTACGATGATGACAGATTCAGTCATTCATGCAGCCATCGGTACAAGCTTAACCTTTCTCCCCTCTTACCCTCGCCTTCAGCCACCCCCGTCCTGGCATCAGATTGGTGACAAGACCTTAGCCGCGCTCAGGCACGGACCCCGGCCGTCAGAGGCGAGACCTGACGTTTGACACGACATTTGTCAACGAGATGGACCATCCACCGCACTCGGATAGGTCAGATGCAGACTGTGACAGATGATTGGCAGCTGGTCTGCGCGGCTGTTTGCATGGAAAGACAATAACCGAGGTGCTCATCGAGTTGTCTTCCCCCCTCTCATGTGCACCCATCTCTCTCGACGTGTGCACGCGCAATGACATTGACTGCCGCACTAGCGCCCTCCCGCCAGCAAAAGAAAAACGAACCTGCATTTGTGAGAAGTATGTTCCAGCTGCCCTCTTAGGAGCTAGGGGCAGTAAGGCGCATGTACGGACGGAACACCCCGAGTAGTAGCTCGGTATTTAGCGTTCCCGCACCAGCTTTGGGGGTTCCTGCAGAAGAGAAGTCAACGCATCTGCGCCACGAACCAGACCAAAAGACTGACGAACTGGTTGGTAAAGTCTGTCGATCTGTCTATACGCAGGTCATCTGGGTGGCGTTCTGGAGGTTATCGGATCGCGGGGAGCAGGCATTAACATCCAACACAAATATCTGGATGTTGGTTGCACCCGCATCAACATCCTAGCAGGTGTCAAGCTTCCCCAACCTGTCCCGGCAACGTCTCGGGACTAACCTCCCGCAGGCGATTTACAAATAGTAGAAGCCAGTGTCTTGATAGATTGGTGCCATCCGAAATGCAGATGTTGCGGCACCAGCTTCAGTTTTTGGGATCATGGTCCATCATGAACGCACACGCCGCACTGAATGAACATCAAGAAAGCTTATGACCCCCAAAAATAGAAGGGATAACCCTTCTGGGAAAAGTAGGGGCTAGGCGACTCTTCCCCAGACGACAACCTGGAAAGCTTATTGAAAAGTGTGGTTCATCATGTTGAGAGAAATTTGACGTTTCCCATTCAAGGTCCGTGACTTACTGTTTTGTTTCGTCTGATGGCCGCCAAGCCATAATTCCCAATGTCAATGACCGAGCCGCGCACCGCACGGCACGCGTTTCAAGTGAGAATGGCACCGGTTCTCGGCCACAGAGCCACACTCACAACCTCCCAAGCCGGAACACGAACCCGGGAGGTGTCGAGCTGCAGTAGCTTGAGGCGAAGATTCTGACATTCTGTTCCCGCGATGGTGACTATGACTGTTCGAGGTACACGGTTTTGCGCCGCAGCTACACTGCACGTGTGTGCGACGAATCGTACGGTGTCTGGTATCTCTTACCGTCGTGAGGTATTGGAAGCAGCTCGGATGAAGGAAGCTGCGTCAAATCATGTAGGCCGCGGGAAGGAGACACATTCGCGGCGTTCGCGGCACAGTCGAAGAAGTCGTATAATAAGGACATGAAGTTCTGGTCTCAGTCAGTCTTTCTTCCTTCCATCTCATCAGCATCTACAGCTTCTTATCTTCCAAAGCATCTTCTAGATACCAAAGCATTCGCTTCAACAATACTCGAAAAGCCTTCGCTTCACAACTCAACACACAAATCACAATGCATTTCACCAACGTCTTCGTCCAGGCTCTGATTGCCGGCACTGCCATCGCTGCTCCCGCTTCCCTCGTCAGCAAGCGTCAACTCCAGACCATCCAGGGTGCTCTTACCAGCGTCCAGGACTCCCTTGGCAACCTTGACACCGCCGTTAAGGTATGCTTCATCATCATCTGCTGTATTCATCCAGACTAACAGTCTCTAGGCCCTCTCCGCCTCTGACCCCAACTCTGCCGCCAACCTCCTCGATGCCTCCAACAAGGTCCAGACCAGCTTGAAGCAGGGCACCCAACAAATCCAGGGCGCCCAGGAGCTCTCCCTCACCGATGCCCTCACTCTTCAGCAGTCCGCTGGCGGCCTGACCACCGCCGTCCAGACCGCCGTCACCGATCTGACCAACAAGAAGCCCGAGCTTGACAAGCTCGGCGCCACCTCCGTCGCCGTTGACCAGCTCAAGCAGCAGAAGGCCGTCGCCGGTGACTTCAGCACCGCCGTTGTCTCCAAGGTCCCCGCCATCGGACAGAGCATCGCCCAGCAGTCCGTTGATCAGATCAACCAGTCCCTTGACGGTGGTATCCAGGCTCTGTCTGCTGGTGGTGCCCAGCAGGGTGGTGCCGGTGGCGCTGCTGCTCCCGCTGCTCCTGCTGCTCCTGCCGCGCCCGCTGCTGGCAACGAGGCTGCTACCAACAACGCCGACTTCAAGACTGAGGTTATGCCCCAGTAAGCGAGACGTGCGGGCTAGGGGAGGTAGTTGAGAATTTTCATTGTTAGCGGTCAGACGACTATATGAGAACGTCCAGTGTTGGCGTATTTTGTTTTCTATCATAGGTAGTTGATGGCAAGTCAGCTGAGCTGCCGGAGCAGCTGTGCTGCAGCCTGTATGAGTATAAGAGGCATTTGAACCTATCCAGCATTTTTCATCAAGTGAGAGATTGCGTGATTGAGTGTGTTGTAAGTAATTTAGTGACTAACATGATTGATCTAGGTCACACGACCGGAAACATTAAGTCGGCCTCTAGAAGGATGACAAGTGTGATGGTTGCTTCCCTTCTCAAACCTCCTGATAATCATAAACATAACGCTTTAACAGGCTGTGATGGAGATGAAAAAGGGAGGCGAAATTTGAAGTCGTGCGTCGACTCGGGCTCAAAACACTTCTACCGCTCCATCTCTTCCCTACAGCTCAATGTCTGATCCTTCCGAGTCACGCAGCATCATGCTGTAATGTTGTGAGTCGTTGGTTTCGCTGATTGATCCTTTACGCCCTCTCATGTCCCGAAATCGATTCATATCAAAGATGATTTCCGCTACTAAGACGGTGGAAGTCCCTGGTATATGCGGAGAATCGACGGGGAGCATAGTCCTCGCCGTCACTAGGAAGTCGCCAACCCAGCTCGCCCTCCCCCTTTCACCGAGGAACTCGTCGCTGAAAGGTTTGACGTCCTTCAGAGTATGATTGACATTCCAGTCCGGAAATACTCGACATCTGCGGCGCCACCCGTAAAATCGCTCTTCTAACGGAAGGTCCTCGTCCAGCCCTGCCTCGAGATAAACTGCCACGTATTTCCCGCTTTCTCGACCGGAGCCTTTTTTCTTGAAGATGAGAAGACCTCTACCGACTTCATCGGCGTCACTCTTGCCCACCATAGCCATCATGCTTGTACGCTCCTCGAGAGCCTCTGGCGGGTCGGCAACGTAAAGACGATATCGCGATAGTCCTCGCGGGAAGACGATGAGGAAAAAACACCTTAGCTCCCATTCTCCTCAAAGGACTAAAAACTCTTCTCTGAAGATAGATTTGTTCGGCTGGTTTGGGCATTGTGATCATGATGTTGGTCGTCTCTTCCGGGTCGAAGTCGACGGCCCAATTCTCGGGGAACTCGGAACTTTCCTCATACCAAGGAAGCAGTTTCTTTATCGAATCGCAAAAAAATGTGATCCATGCTGATGGAACAGACACGCGTGTGTATTGATGACGGTAGTCGCTGACATGTGAAGACAACGGCAGCATAATAGGTCCGCCGCCGTCTCCTGAGAGCATGCAGCTGATCTTTCCGAGAACAAAATGAGGCGACAAAGTCTCTACAAGGGGAAGAGAAATAGAGAGACCCGCATTCGTCATGGAGCAGAATGGGGGAAGAGTTGTCGTATGAGAGGCGGCAGGCGCTCG